ATTATTATTTTGTAAAAATATTTTTATTGTAAAACTACCAAAGTGTATTATTACCAACTTTCTATTTCTACAACTAAAATTTAAATTTTCAAAATATTACGATATGAAAACTAATCGGAGATTTCACAGATCTTTGAATTTCAACAATTAAGGCATTTTTTCATCATAAAGATTTTCAAATGTTTCTTTTATTCCGTCGACTTTTTATATAGTTAAGCTTGGAAGTATTTGTTATTAACATATTTATATTTCAACAATATTATGTTGTTGCCAAGGAGATGTTGTGACGTATCCTCCCTACAAAGCATGGCAACAAGGCCTTGCTATAGACGTCCCCCTGCTTATTGGTAAGTATATTACGCTCATTTTCACACTACCTGCAATACTGAACTTGACGTAACTATGAGAAACACTGTTCCTTTCCGAAATAATTACGTATAAGATCCTAAATCGCGCTAAAGTCTTGATTGCAGACTGTTGGTAAGTCTCAATAAAACAATAGATTTGATTTATAAATTCATCAAATGTATCTTTTAAATGGTGGTGTTTTAGTTATCTGACCGTCTTTATCGATAGCTCTCCACCTCTGATTCGCTGTTTCAAGACCAACATGGGATAATCCCCGGATTTTCTATGCCACTCAAACCTGACACTCTCTAACATGCTACTGACTGTTACGTAAAAATTAACTAAATCAAACTTTGACATGCATTTCAGAGTAAAACATGATTAAATAAAGTAATATATATAGTCTTCGAAGAATTTCAATTCCAAGTTCTTTTAATCAGGTACAACTGCGAATGAGATCGATTGTGATCCTACTTTATCAACCATGTATATGTGGAATTGGACCGAGTATGAACGACAGGTCAAAGGTCATTTGGGAACATATGGATCTAAACTCGCGGATGATGCATTGAGAATGTACCCAATTAATGTAACGTCACCAGAATATGAGTACACGAGAATGGGTGCAGACATTCGTGTAGGATGCCCCAATGATTTTATGTCCGGAGTTATCAGTTTGAGTATGAAATCACCGGTCTATAGATACGTCGTGACGTCACAGCCTTCGGAACCTGTTCATGTATTTGGAGAGCCCTTTCCAGCATCTTATTCGTTTCACATGTGGGACCAATTTGCATATTTTGATACGATTAAAGATTACATCAAACCCCCAGCTACTTCCGATCGAAATTTCCAGGAGACGATTCAACGAGAGGTTTTGTCGTTCGTCCGAACCGGTATACCATCTACCAAAGACTGGCAGTCATATTCGCATGGCGTGACGGCACTTTTATCTGAAGATATATCTGTTGTGTCTAATTACAAAAAAGACACGTGTCTGTTCTGGTCATTGAACGGATTGTTAAATTACGGATGGATAAACTGAATACCTGTCCTGATAATGTGATAATATAGGTATTCACCTTTATTTGAGTTTTTGTTCTTTTTGACATAATTTATTTACAATCCACGTTAGTTTTACACAATAACACGATCAGTGGCATTAATTATGTGGATAAAAATCGTCCCGTGACCTAAGTAATCCGACCTTGAATATATGCATGGTAGCAACATTATACTATAGCCATACACATTTGCCAAAAACCAATAACAACAGCTTAAAACATATGCAATTAACACAATATCAATTCCGAGGAATTCTTTGTGCGACAAAATCCTAGGTAGCGAATTTCAAAAGCTGCGAAGATGTAAGCGAAACCATCACACAATAGGTTTATACAACAGCCCTCGAGAAATATATAAACGTTGAAAATATTTAAACGCCTGATGACTATCTAGGATATCATACGTACTTCTTTGCAGAGGGCCTTCATACTCTTAAGAAAATATTCGAACATAAATGATTCGTACGAAAGCCTAGAAAGGTCAAATTTCGAATGGGAAAAATACAAAATCGGGTTATTACGTGAATAAAAGCGTAATAACGCCTTTCGAAAGTCGTAATAACGCGAATAAGTCGTAATAACGCCTTTCAAAAGTCGTATTAACGCGAGAAAAAGCCGTTAAAATGACTTTTACAGGCAGGAATACAATTGTCATTGCTTCTGTTCAGTCCTTTACGGAAGCCTTTGAAAGGCCTTATTACGACTTTATTCGCGTTATTACGACTTTTGAAAAGGTAGGCATGATACAGAATATGATCTAAGCTTACCACAATAAATTTTTACATCAAATCGCCAGCTTCCCCTGATCAAAACTTTCAGGAATAGTTTGAGCTGAAAGTTCGGTCTCTCTTAAGAACCTTTACATTCACGCGGTGTAACTGCACTGATGTATGATGGCTTTTTAGTTGTAAATAATTATCAGAAGACCATGTGTTCGTTTTGGTCATTAAGCAATCTGTTATAGATAGATAAACTGAGTATACACCGGAAACATGTACTTTTATTTCTAAAATATTCATATCTGTATTTAAAAATTGCATCTAATAGTCTAGTTCACCCAGCCGCTTGATAACTTCGTAATTGGGGTAGCGAGCGCAGACAGCACTGAAGAGTCTGGTTGATCGAGACAAGATGATGAAGATATATATGGTGTCCAAAGTGACTGGGTTTTTTGTTGCTTTGTTGTTTACGATGTTTTAAACAATATGTGTTTGTTGTATGTTCAATATATGAAAGAATGTTTATATAATAAGGAAATCAAAAGATATCATTGACAAACCTTCATCGATTGAAGTCTTTTGTTTTACTTTGAAACGGCTGGTATCGCCAGGATTGTCGATAATATACAATTACCTTTTCATTTTTAGTCGTATGAAATGTTTGGTTCGTTCTCAATATTCGCAGAAACCTACATAGATTTATGACAAGATAGACTCTTAAACATCAACCATAGATCTCGATGTTTGCATAGCCATAGGTACACTTTATGTCTGATAAGTGTGATGAGCGCGTGACGATTCGATTTTTTGTGGTTTAATTGCGAGATTACAGAAATACTGAGTATGATCAGGGAGACGAAATTCACTCGTGGCCACTTTCCCTCTATATTTTCAGTCATTAAAGAAATGCATGTATGATGGACTTCTAACACACGCTTGTCCTGACATTGTACCTTAAATACAAACTTCTCCACTAAGCGATCTAACGCCTGGCAGATATATATTGTACATGATAAAGTATACACCAAGTAATTTTATGGCTGGCCAATATTCTGATTAGTGAGGTAAATGCAAAGCTGGTTTTTTTTTTCACACCAATGATAGGGTCTTAATGTCTTAAACATTAGATACAAAGTCATGTAGATCTTATCTTTTGGACTGAAATGAAGTGATCTTGATAGCGAGGTGGTCTTAATCTTGGAGCGGTCTTTAGAAGAGGTTCCACGGAAGATGAATTGATCTTCGATGTTCCCGTATACTACTAATTCTCTGATAGATTTCATTTTTCTATAGACACGTTGAAGGGTTGAATATATACAGGATAATTTAAAAGACTTAGAACTATAAAGAAATTTGTAAAGTTATATGGATATCAGTGGAATGTAGCTTATAACTGTCAATGGTTGTGAAAGAGACGGCTTGATTAAGACCATGCGGAGGTTTTGTGATCTTCATCATCATCTCAATAGGAAATATCTCATTTTCTTTTACGTTATGAAGTAAGATGAGTCATTATTATGATCGGTGATTTTGGTGTTATAAACAAGGTTTAAGAAAGTTACAGACTGACCAAGATTTATAGGCAGTTGTCGTCAATGACGCAGAATACGCCTATCCTTCTGGAAAACATCGTTTTGTTCTCTATGTACTGTTTCTGAGGTCATTTTACTGGTTTGCCGTCTGCCATCCTTTATCAGTATTAAGTTTCATTTCAAGCAGTTTCGTACGAGTTATCTCCCCTGGAATATATGGCAGGTTCAGGAGACAAACAAGAAGGGAATGATCGTTGTAGTCAAGAACTGAAAATGAAAAACGTGACATAAAAGTTTTATCTCGGTATAATATCCGAACATTTCAAATCTATTTTCAAAAAGAAAAAAAAAAGTTACAGGTCTGTTATTTATCGAAAGATTGTTGAACTAACGGTACTGATTTACAAATGGGTTGGTGATAAATAAAATAGACACCAATGATATTTGAAAGAAAGTCACATCAGACTGTTTTCATTAAGAAAAAGAGTATGACATTTTGTGACTTTTTAAAATTTACTTTGCAAAGTGGTAAATCCTATTGCGTGTTGCGAGTGTTGTTCTGAAAACAAAAACATAAAAACAAGAAATGAAAAGAAGAAAAAAAAACTTCTTTACCACCAATAGTTATTGTGTCGTTTAAGTGTTTACTTAATCAGAATTATATTCAAACAAATATCATATCTTCTAGTTTTAATGCAGTTAGGTACGAGCCAGGTTTCACGCCAAATCTGAACCTTTCGGGTGCTTCCGTGTAAGACACGATGTATTTCTCGTTCACTGAAAGTGATGAAATTTCCGAATCTTAAACTGGAAATCTGGTATACCGGAGAACAAACGTTTTAAACCATTGAATTATACATTTGCTAAACTCTATCTTCATTGTTTAAGATTTTAAATATGATTTTGTTTTAACAGACCATTGACATAACTATGGCAACTAATTGTGTCCCTCTGTTCGCTGATTTGTTTTTGTTTCCATACGAGGCTCAATTTATCGAAGAGTCATTGAAGCAGAAGACTCTTACTCTTCCTGAACACATGGTCTTTTTCTCGTGGTGCTTTTTCAAGAGTCGCCATGTAAATCATTCTTTTTTCATATTTTGCCTTAGTTTTATTTAATTTGAGTTCGGATTACTATTATACTGATATGTTGGTGTTTTATTGTTTTTAAATGAGAAATATGTAACACAAAAGATGTGTTATAAGACTTCAGAAATCATAGACAAAAGACCATAGATGAAGGCAGGTTATATGGCGTTCTAATCGCTTCGTTTCCATTTCCAACAAGTCCCTCACGTTTGTGTATTAATGTGTCGGTAATCCAAATCCTTACAACACTACTTTAGCTCCCGGAGGATGTCGTCTGAGAGGTACTCTTTCAAACTATTTGTGGAGTAATCCCAGACAGCCCTTTGGTACGATCGGTTCCTAAGAGAAAAAGCACACTTTCATTAACACACACGTGTAAAATTGACAGTTGTCGAATATCTAGGAGATATAACTCTACTTTCTTCATCAATTATTTTACATTATTATGTAATTGATTAATTTTAAAAAAGAGCTTAAAATGCTCTCGATTTGATTTGTTTTTCACTTATATTACATTACCTATATGACGTCATTTCTGGCTGCAACGAACCTTGACTATTTTTATAATCTGATCAGGTGATTCAGATTTGAAAAAAAGATATTTTGATTGGAAAAGTTAAAATTTATGAAAATGAAAATTATTGATTGCACACAGTTTGACGCATCATGACCCAAATAATTAGTTTCTATGTACTGTGATTACATTTCTTCTCCCTACTGAGTTGTCTTCTGAGCGATACATCTGGGTACCAAAGTAAAGTTGACAAAGACAACCATTTCATAATGTGAGACTCAATTTAGCGAAAGAACGAGACATAAGTGATGTATACTATAGTGAAAATCCATCTTACCTTGAAGCTGATGAAGTAGACTTTGGTTTAGAGTTGTCGTAATATATATCCCGTGTACCTGCAAGTTCTGGATTAATGGCCGCATTTATGGAAGTCCACGATCCTTCGAATGGCGTCTTGATTCCCCCTATACAGATTAAAACAAAAGTCTTTCAATTGGTATCTTCTCACAAGTTGTCTGCAGAGCACGGTCTGCGGTCCACGTTGTATAACTGATTAACACTTTAAAACCGTAAACAAATTGTGTCACAAATATCAATAAATAATGTGAGATCTCATTCCAACAAATTGCTAAATCATTATTAGATTCGTAAAACACCGTTTTGATAATGTCATTCTTACCACAGCATTGTATACATGATAATACAACTTTTAACATTCCCCTTCTGAAACCACCGAGGATATTTGTTCTCACGATTCCTGGATGCAGTGAAGCGACAGTCACATTAGTGTCCTTGAGGATCTCATTCAGTCGATACATCTGCATCACCTAAACGTAGATTTATCGTTTCATCATACTTTCAGAGAGGTTCGTTTCTTTTTTTATTGTTTTGATTTTGAAGTACTTTGAGATATCTATATTTGGGATCGAACTACATCCCCTCGAAAATAACAACCGTTTGAGTACACTAACTCTGTAGAAGTCTTTACCTCAGCATTTGCGCTGGACACTAGTCACGTGAGCGTAGACCAGACGTAAAGCTCGATTCCTATCCCAGTGACGCAACTTTTTGTATTATTAAGAAAGATTGTAGTATTTAAAACTGAAACTAGAGGTTAATCTTTTTATTTTCGTAAGGAGTATGTCAAAAGTGAAGATTCTTATCAATTTTCAACATGACCTCAAAGAGACAAAGTATCGGTGTCATCCAACAAAAAAGTGATGATGCACACTAACAATTCAAAGGAAGCATTAACAAAATATTAATAAAAAGTAAAACTACATGACCAGTGAATGAAATCCCTCCCCGTCGATGTTTTAACTCCTGTGACCTATTTCCATATTCCTTACCGCCTCTTCCGAATTCTACATTTTTATACGATTTGATATGATTTTATGTCTCAGGATGACGTTTATTTGTGTGTCTTTTGTGCAATTCCTCAATTCAAACACTGGTTCTTGATAACAATGTATTTTTTTCAATATGGGAAAGCACAAGTGATTCAGTACATCTGAACCTTTTATGCCAGAACTTTAACACCAGTATTTAGCAGTAATTAGTTGTGGACGTACTGTCATTGAAGTAAAAGAACTCGTAACAATAATGATAAAATAATGTCAAAACCTGTAAATATGGTACAGCCTGAAAGCTACATTTACCTGGTAAGCTTTTGATCTACAGTATAATTCAAATGTGTCATATTTGCGCTCTTTCTTTCCTTCAATATCCTCAGGATCAACATGACAATTCCTATGGATATCGCTAGATACAAGTACTATCCTGCAATCAGGACCGGATGCTTTCATCACCGGTAGAAGATGAGAAATAAGCAAGAACTGGCTCAGATAGTTCACCTAAAAAGAAATGTACGTTAGAACATCTGCAACATCTTAATCACTTTTGAATAAAACGAAGTATTGGTATTAGTTCAATTATTTTTTATATAAGAAAGACCAAACCACAGCCTCCCTGTAACCAGGGTTTATGATGAACTGGCATACAATGGGAAATTATATATTTAGAAGAATATGACCATTATATTGCAGTGTATATTTGCCTCTTGTTTTACTTGTTTATTTGACATAATTCATATATGTTACCTGAAAGACCAGTTCGTGACCATCCTCTGTGTATGCTACAAAAAAGCAAATTTGTTTTATAATACGTAAGTAGGATACTGTAACGTATGTTATCAAATAAACTAAATTCGTATTTTGTAAGAGTTTGGTACGATTCGCCCAGTGACTTTAAATTCTGGTAGTGTTGTAATTTATATACCATTACATGCATATGTCTTGCATTTCCTAAGGATGGATTGCATATAGAAACGATTGCTATCTTAGTTTATTGTAGTAAGGCTTAGGTACATGATGTGTATAACACAAATCCTCCTTTATCAATGTAAATCTGTCACTACAATAGAAGTTGCTGGTATTTTTTTATATATTCGAAATTGATACATTAGAAAGAAAGAAAAAGAGGTTTTTTTCCTTGCTTTACAATTCATATAATATCTCACATGGACATCTACACATACAACATACATAATGTAAAGATGAGTGTAATCAGTGAAATATTTCAATGGTCCTCACACGTTATGTGTAGTTATGCCAAGCTGTCAAAAACTATGTCAGACACTTGGTATATACTGTAAATCACTTATATTTCAAGTGGAATTTATTTTCGCAATTCAAATACCTCTCATTTATTTGTACAAAAAATAACTTTGCATCCTTTTTCACTCGATTACCGATATCGGAGTCTCGCAGACTGCATCATTCGTGAATTTAAAATCATTGCTAGATCAGCATTCGCGAAGTCATGTATTTGCGAATATGTGTGAAGGGGTAAGCTCACGAAATATTCCCGAAAACTAAGTGATTTACAGTACTATACTACATCATAGTTTGTATTATTATAAAATGATGTATGAAAGTTCTGTAACAAAATCTTAGTATAAAGGAAACTTACCTAAGTTATCTTGTAGGCCTAAACCAGCGTTACAAATAAGCTTGTGAAGCTTCCTTCCTGATGATTTGAAAGATTCAACAAAACTCATCACTGATTTGAATGAATTGCAATCTAGAGTCATGAATTCAACATTCAGCTGGTCGTAGTCTACTATTCCGTCAGTCTTCTTCCGTTTTTCTTCTGAGAATTCCTCGTTCATCTGCTGTATCGCCTGAAACAAGATATCATATAAAAAGGTTTACAACTCTTCAAAATTTACGTATTTCCAAATTTCACAATGAACTGTTGATTCTTGTCAGATATAAGTTATTTCAAATTTCTTTATTTGCAGGAAATTATTTCACAATCTGTAATATTTTGAATTTAAGATATATATAATGATAATATTTTTATTTCTGAGGATTGTCTTTGTATATTTGATGTTCCTATTATTGGGTTGAAAAAATAGCAGATAATATACGCGTTATCATTGCAAAATCAGGTACTTATATATAACATATAACGAATTTAAGCAAAGAACTTCGATAAGCTGAAAACTCAATGTAGATTTTGCACACTGCTAATTATACAAATTGTGCAGTTAATCGACCGGATGATGATTCGAATCCACCAAGAATTTAACACAGTTGTGATAACGCACAATGCACCAAAAACTGGTCTATTCTCCTTGTCCTTTTGCTTGAGTCTCCTTGTTAATCTTTCTATTGTTCATATTTCTGTACTAGTTTTATTTAATTTGAGCTTAGTATTTTTTATCAATAATTTTTAAAAAAAAACTGAAAACTAAATATATGTCATAAGAATAGACTTCGAGGCCCTAAAACCTTCCAATCTCAAAAAGATACTCCACGTCCTAGGATGTCATAGGAATTGAATAATAAAATTTGTGAAAGACATCCTTTGTCCCTAAGTCTAAGGAAACTCTCTTTCATCTTAAGATCCTATAACCAAATACTTTGTCCTCAGATCTGAGTACGACAACCTTGCTGGGTTCATGAAGTTAAACAGTTACAATCAAGATTCATGCTCTATTAATCCTTCAATGTCATGCTATGCAGGTTATACACCTGAGTCAAGAATGTTGAAGACGCGGTATTCATTATCTATGCCAGGGCGTATTCAATGACGCGTTTTCCTCTTATCAGTATAAAATGCACATATATGCACTTAAATCAATATTTTGAAATAAACGTTCTGATAAAGTTTCAAAATAGATACAGTGGTTGACTATCAAAATTGATACAGTGGATGACTAGCAAAATAGATACAGTGGTTGACTTTCAAAATTGATACAGTGGTTGACTAGCAAAATAGATACAGTGGTTGACTATCAAAATAGATATAGTGGTTGACTTTCAAAATTGATGCATTGGTTGACTATCAAAATGGATACAGTGGTTGACTAGCAAAATAGATACAGTGGTTGACTATCAAAATAGATATGATGGTTGACTTTCAAAATTGATACAATGGTTGTCTTTCAAATGCGTTTTTGGTGTTTCGTAGAGAAGCTTGTACAAAAGACAAGAAAGTCCTATTCTAGACAGGAAGATAAATAGACCAATTAATCAATAAATTTTGTGATTTTCTTATATCAGCTAATTTGATTTTAAACAATACAAAACATACATGAATTGTTTTTTTAAATCATATTTACCCGGTTAGCTCTCTCCTCAGATCTGCACGCTATGATAACGGTACCTCCCATCATAGCTAGCCATTTAGCAGTATGGTAGCCGATACCTGAACATAAATAAAAGGAGGCGATGTTATTGAAAGCAACTACAACAATCACAACAATAAGATTAAAGAGTCTTATATATAAGACTGTTGTAGAAAGGAATATCCCAACCCGAGTGTAAGAGCTGGGCAGATCAGCATGAGGCTTAAAACAGCAACAAATTGAGAATTGCTATTAAACCTTTTCATCAGCATGATCATTTTTTGACATTGTTACGCTAGGTAAAATGATGACGCTATCCCATCTGGAGTAGCGAGATATCATCGTAACACGGTATGCAATTTCATCAATTACATCACTGGATATAACCAGCATAACAAAAACAATGTGATAATTCTAGAGAGCTGTTATTACTCTAGATTTGCTGATTCCCAAATGTGGGTAATTTTCATAAAAACAAACTATTATATATGATATAACAAAGTGAGAGTTATTTATTTAGAAGTATGTGCATATTTGCTGATTCATAACTTATAATCACCTGCATTTCCTCCTGTAACCACGAAAATGTTATCTTTGGGAATGAACACCCGAGGGAAGGAGGGAGTGGATCCCATTCCGTCGATGATTCTTCTCCGCCCTTACTTAAGTAAGACCCGGGCATAAAGTCAATGTCATTTATATCCTTTAGTCACGTGATGCTACCGGCAACACAAGAACGATAGCAACTAGGTAAATGTGTTATTCAATCCGTCTATTCATTAGTTTAGATCCGGCGGAGCAGATAATAGTTAAAGCATGCATTGTTGCAAATGACACTGCAAATGTAGTTCACGGAACTAGGCCATCTTAGGATAGTAAGGTTAGCGTCTCGACTCTTTGTTGTTAAACAATTAAATGCTCGCTTGATCAACACTCTTCAAGCGTTAAATATTCATTGTATATTGAATGCAATGTCTTTGGTTGGTCACATTCTACTTAAGCCTACGTGAGGTAATGGTCAAGACACATTTATTAATCCGCTCAATTCTCTAAAATATGTTCAAATATCTATTAGGTTTCGACTGACACTAAGCTATAAAGAACATTGTAATAAGACACTTTCTTCGTGAGATTGAGTTTAAACATCACATAATTTAGGTAATTGTTGTTCATATCTTCTAATACTTATTCAAGTAAACATAATCGATTTAGACGATATGCATTTATCGAATGTTCCAAATACGTCATATATTTACATAATTAATAATGATATTGTCCTGTAACATGCATTCGTAAATCTAAGGTGAGCACAATATCATTAAATTATAGTGTCATTAAGAAAGTCACATCAAAGTAGTTTAAATCTAAACATGAAACATATATAGATAGTCTAAATTACTCTTAGTCGCTAAAAAATCATAAGTTAAGAGATGCTTCATGGACAATATATTTGAAGTTCGGTATTTATGAAATAAATCTTAAAAGTCAGCTGATAGTTAAACTACTCTTTCAGAAAAAGACCTTGCATAAATGATCACTCGTGACCATTAGCTGCCTCGGTATAACCTTATATCAAGAATTCATTGTTCCTGGTTTGACATATGTCCTGGTTGTTCTATGCAATTCTAAAAAGGACATGGCATCTTTGGTTGGGTACTGTCTGTTTTTTCCGGGGTCGAACTCGGTGTTGAATGCTTGGGGAATGAACAAGGATGGAGGGACTTTAATGAAAATGTATAATAATTTATGTTCAACAAATAAACAAAGATCTAGATTTTGCCACCACAAATTTACGCAAGTCATCGGCAATATTTTGTCCAGAATGTCATGAAAAAAGTAATAATACTAACATATGTATATTTTGAAATAATATGTAGGGACATTAACATTACACAAAAGAAATCATTATGGAATTGGTAAGACATTGGCCATGTAACTGTATTTCTTTTATTCTTGTGTCAAGAAGCAGCACGATCTGATTCAACTAGATAAACTTTATATTTAAATACTATTTGAAATTTTGACACACCGGAATTGTTGAGTTTTTAACAAGTAGTTCAATTGGACTTTTAAATGTTGGTTCAAATTTTTGAATTATGTTACATTAATGATCCAGGGAAATAATATTTAGTGTGAAATGACCTAATCATGGTTTCTAGCTTGCAGTGGTCCTGTAGATAAGGCGTCAAAATTTTACCTATTTTATACAGTGCATGATTTGTAAAAGACGGTCTGTTCTTGTTCTTCTCTTTCTAAAGAATTGGTTTTTTTCTTCTTCTTCTTTTTAATTATTCATGTGGCACTGCCATACTTCTAGCCTAAAGTAGAGTATTTGCCTCTCTAAGGAAGGCCTTTGGTTCTGTACCCTTGTCTAAAGATACCAGAGTTTTTAAAGTAACAGTTCCTGATTAAAGTGCAAATTTCTGGATTTTAAAAAAATATTCTCGACATTAATTTTTTTTTTCTGTGCTCAGTTCGGACAAACAAATTGGTGGAATTATTCCTGGACAATTCAAAATCAAACTACGTAGATATAACACATTTATCACATGATCATATTCAAACGAACCACACTACCAGTTATAAGAAGCAGCGGCACTTCAAGTAAACTGGAAAAAAACTCTATTTCAGCCGTTCACTATAGATTCGATATCAGTTCCATCTTATCACAAGAAGGCTTACAGGAACACTGTATTCGCACTGTTTAACAGTAAATTTTCTAGGACTTGTAGAAGGATGTAGAACTACTTTAAAACAAAATCCCTTGTGTATCAAAATGATGCTACCTATATGGGTTATCTATATGTGTACCTTCATTCTGATGTCTTTACCTTTAAACTGTATAATTAGAATCTCCATGATGTGCCTAGGTAAATCACATATTATATATACTTAGAGCCTTTGTACAGTTGTGGGATAGCACAGCGTTACACGATGTCTGCACGATGTATGCACAACAGAAAAACTGGACAAAATAAGCTTTCGCACATTTGTGTGGTTCTATCGCACAGATGTGCGATTCAATCGTGGTTGATATTAATGTAGAAATGACTTATGAATAGGTATGAGATAGGGTTTATTTATTTTCTAAATATATTAGAGTACAGCTAAGTATATTTCCTAATTAAGCCATTAATATATAGGTAGGGCACTTGTAGATATATCAGATACACGCTGAATAGTTAGCTACACTCGTAAGTTTAAGTATTTTGTGTACAAAGTGCCACGCGTGGTCAGCTTTAGTGTACGGACACACGTTATATATATAAACGTTAAATGGACATCTCTTTATGTCACAGCAATGAATAATTTAAAATATAATACCGTCAGCAAGGAAATGTTATCTTCATTACTTCTACGTTATTCTCATTTTTTTTTTCATTCATTTTATAAACAACAAATATATACAGAGATAAATCCAGCCGGGACGGATCTCGTCTGTCACGTAAACAACCGTATGCAGGTAAACTTTTGTTGCCTGGTGCATCACTACTGGCCATGATCTGAGGCGTGAAACTACACACGATACGACTAATTAATGCATGTCCAGTGTTATTTCGAAAACTGTCGAATTGAAAATTATTTTTATAATCACCGATCAATTTTAATGTTCATGCGATCGCTATTTAGTAATAACTTCCGTTTAATTTTCAATCCGTAATATAAGCCAACCATATTTACCCAACCGCACAAAATGTGCGATCCTATAGCGCAGTTGTGCACACGATACGGTTTAGACCTGTTTGTGCACGATGGTTTTGGTGCATTGTGCGCTACCACAGCTGCATTATAATTCTTGCCATATGTGTTATAGTGACTTTTAGTGACTTTTTACATGATTGATAAATAAAAATCAACAATACGATTCTTGGGTAAAAAACATATATTTCTGGGTTTTTTTTTATTTATTTGTTACAAGTATGTACTACATATGAACTAAGTGTGGCGTGATAATTCCTGAGATGGTCTGTGAAGTACCATATCAATACACATAATATGCTCCTTTTTTGTATTTCATGTGAACTACAAAAAATGGGCACAATGAGATAGCATATTGATGAATTCGCCAGAATTACCCTCTCTACGTTCATTGATATAATATGTTGATGTAAACAGTACACTATAGTTTCCATCAAATTAAGTAAATTAAGTAATAATGGCCAAGAGTCGAAGGCATGTATTTCGGTTTACTGAGGAATGGATTTAAAACAGCGTTACTAGAGATGCAAATTGGTGAAATTCATTTAGGTTATTTTTTCCTGTTCCATAGAATTAATAATGTATCAACAAAATAGATACGTCAATTTTAATAAAAGGTATTTTTAACTTACATTTACTCTATATAATGAAATCACACAATATAATATGTACAGATCGTCGTGTTATACATTTATATAGATATATAATCTGCATGTTTACTGTTGCTGTTGTAATATGAAAAAGACTATAAATAGCATATCATTACCTCAGATCTTTTGTCAGTTTTAAACAGTCCATGAATAGAACAAAATGATTGTACATTGTATACATAAAAGACATTATGATAAAGTTAACAATTAGCACCAGTGTTAAACTAGTAAAGTCATAATATTTGAATATATGAATCCCATGGCATGAGTAGTTCTCGAAATTTTTTTTCACGACACTAGGTTATAATGAATTCAATCGGCATCTCTGATTATAACATACGTTTATGATATATATTATGTAGTCATAATGCTAAACCTAGCAAACTCATTTTCTTTTTTTCAGATCACGACAGACTTTTTCTTCTGATTGATATCGTCCTTCAGGTTTTCTCCTTTAAGAGATATTATTTTAGTTCTCTAAGAATGTCCTCTGGGAGATAGTCTTTGAGACATTCCAGAGTGTGATCCCAAAGAGCGTCCTGGGATGCTTTGTTTCTGCGAACAAACAATATTTATATCATCAGTCATCTTTTGAAATCGTATCGGTAGTCTTCTTTTTTTCTGAATGACTACATTCTATATTGGTTTATTCATTTTACTAGATGTATAACATTATCATTAGGTACAGAAAAAAGTTACTTAATTCTTATAACTGTTTCCATAACAACACAAAGACAGCAACTAATAGAGGTCCTTTTATCCCTAGCGACCTTTAAGAACATATGTATATGCACAGATATGTTTTACTGCAAATTTTAACCAATCCAGACTTACTTGGCAGCTGTTATCGGTTCTTTTGGTCTGCACTCGGAGAAATAGACATCTCGTACTCCAGCCAGCTCCGGATTAATAGCCGCATTAAGTGAGGTCCATGCTCCTTCAAACGGACTCTTGGACGTGCCTTTGTTGGTGAAATCAAATAAATGATTTATGGAAAAGTTAACAAATATCAAAGAATAATAGTTATAATGATAATATTGCATCAAATCAAATAGTTGTTAGCACTTCTTATATTGATGACGTCTTTGTACAATCTCCGTCGTATATATCAACCAGAAATGGAAATCAAAGACACCAAAGACTCTTCAAAATTAGCCGCTTATCGCGAACTTTTCCTACAACCAACATGGGCAGCTCCCCACCACGCTGTATGATTAACGTGAGGATTTCAATTTTCTTATAGTGAATTTTCCATTTCCAAATTGTATCCTTCCTGCCTCTCCAACATATTTTGTTTACATGGCGCAGATAATTCGATATTCAAGGAAATGTTCCCATTATCATGATTTTCGTACAATAATTCTCAACTGACGGACAAACTCGTAGAACATGTTTCAAAAGCTGCAGGTTGATAAAATTATCGGAAAGTTTTGCGGTCGTCATACTGATTTTATCGAGAAATATTTTTTTTCTTTGTGCATTATGAAACTGGACGTGTTTGATGTTCGTTACGTTGCCTGGTGGTTCCGTTGTTGTATTCCTTGTTCTTATTTGAGAGTGTGACATTACTTACTTTGATTGACAAAGGTTTTCAAAGCGGATGTCGTCGACGTAACGAAATACTTACTCTTCCAGAACACATTTTCTTTTTCTCCAACTGCGTTTGTAAATCTTTCTTTTGTTCATATTTTGCTGAAGTTTTTTTTAATTTGAGATTGGATTATAATTAAGTTGGTATTTTCTTGTCTGTTATATCGTTTGACTTGTTTCCGAGTAGGCTATCATGTTGTTAATTACAAGACGACATTTTATTATAAAACATTATTTTAAATATGCTAATTTCAACTCCTTTATTTAACAAATTGCTTTGTACTCCTATGTCCTATCCTATCGTTTTGCATAGGAAAGTTGCAGTTATATCCTCATTTCGTGTAAAACGACTTAAAGGTATATAAACACATAACAAATACAACCTTTTCCCGTCACATGATTGGCTAAATCATTCGGCATGTTGGGAAGACTTTCTAGAGACGGGACGTATTGTTTACACTGTTTAAAAATCTGTGATAATTCAGAGAGTTAAACAAATCAAATTTCAATTTCTTACCAATACAATCTAAGCAGGCCATTAAAACCCTTGTGGATCCCCTTCTGAAAGTAGCAAGGAGGGGCGTTCGGACGATGCCTGGATGTAGGGATAAGGCAGTTACATCAGTGTCTTTGATGGCCTGATTCAACCGGTACATCTGCATTACCTAAATCAGATCAGTTGTCTTCATAAATACTCAAGAGAAAATGAAACGCAAGGTAAACTTGATGAAGATGATTCTAGGCATGACATCGAGTGTAATGCTCAATACTTCTAAGTAAGAATGAAGATTAATCCATACAGAATAAACTGCAAATTGCAAAATTGAAGGGAATTGAAAGAGAACTCTGTAATATGTAATCGGAATTGACTGATTGTGGGAGCTGGCTAGTCAATACCGGTCTCTCTATCCATAGCACTGTGTTCATGAATGAGTTTATCCTCCTCATTAGGATGGTGGTCCATTCTTCCAAGACCGCTGCTCTTAGTTTGGCCAGAGTAACAGGGGGAGGTTTGTGTAGTCGAATCTGTCTATTCAGCTAGTCCAACAAGTGTTCAATAGGGGATAGATCGGGGCTGTATGGCGGCCGGTCCAGTGGGTGTATATTGTTGTTAGTGAGAAAGTCGCGACAGATCCTCGCTACATAAGGCCGAGCTGGTCCTGCAGGAACCTGAGGTTGCTTTGTTTCAATAATGGGTTAACATTGGAACGGAAGATCTCATCTCTATACCTAGCGACAGTTAAATTACCAGCTACCGCAAACAGTGGTGATTTAACTCCATGTGATATTCCTCCCCACACCGTAACCGATCCATCCCCAAACATATCCTCTCTACTACGCAGCAGTCGGCAAAACGTTCTCCACGACGCCGGTATACATGACGTGGAACGTCATCTTAAACAGGGTGAACCGGGACTCATCAGAAAAAAGACCTGTCGCCACTGCCACAATGGTAATATTCTTGGGGTATAAGTCGCCACCCAAGCCATACGAAGCTTGCGACGAGCAGCGGTAAGTGACAGACCTACAAACGGGTGATATGCTCGCAGACCAACTTTCCGCAATCGTTTCCTTACAGTTTATGCATGGATATGACGGTTATGAGTACCTATGGTATGAAGGGAAGATTCAGCGGCAGTAAGGTGCCAATTGCACAAATGTGCGAGACAAATAAACCTGTCCTGACGTTGTGACGTCACGCGTGGACGCCCAGACCTGGGTCTGTCAGTAACCCATCCAGTTTCTATAGTGCAAATATGGACACCGAAATGGCAACCTGACCCCTCTGAACTTCCGTCAGCCGTGTCATTGTTCAATGCTATCAGAAATAAATCAAAATAACGGAAAAGGATGTTGCTCTATAAAAACTTCTTAATGTTATGACGAGCAGTGTCACAATATCATAACACTGTTGTGCACGAGATGTTCCCGTTTCGTGCTTTCCCCGGAAGACATCGTCAATAATGAAACATTCGATACAGGACCACATGTACTGTAACCAAAAGAGCCGCTTGACCGTTTGTCATTGTTTTTGAACAACGCGTTTGCAAGATATTGGAAATAATGTCAATCTGCGTTTCTTTATCCATTGATTATATATAGTTCATACAGCTGTACACGAATATGTTAAGATGCGCCCAACTTCTTCATCAATTGTATCAGAACATTGATATATGTTTTACATTCGTCATATTTCATCGTTGTTAATAAAACTTGTCCTACTATTACTTTGGCGAGACGAATTCATCAGATTAATGAACTACAAGTGGTATGGTATTCACCGTTTTTAGTTATTCTAATTCTAATTATCGTTTTTTCGCACCGACAAAACGATAATTATCGTCTTTTCGCCCCGCTACTTATCGTCTTTTCGCCGCGACAAAACGATAATTATCGTCTTCTTGTATTCCGGTTAGAAGGATAATAGAACCTAGACATTTAAAATGGCGGAGCTGAGCAGCTACACCAGCCTTTTGAGAAGAGACAATGGCAATGGTATCCTTTTGATTTCCTTAGCTTAATCAGCTGGGCGAAAAGACGATAATGTTCGTTTTGTCACGGCGAAAAAACGATAATTAGCGGGGCGAAGTTAATTAGCGACATCAAGTTTACGTTATTTCGCGTTGGCGAAAAAACGATAATATCGTTATGTCGGGTCGACAAAACGAAACAACAAAATGGCAGAAATCAGCCATCATACATATATGACGCATTTTCTTTCCGTAAAGTTCCATGTTAGCTTGATATCGGAACCATGCAATAGTTATATCAAAATGGTTTTAAAATATAGCTTGAAACGTACATCGATGAATGTGTGTGTTTTAAGTGAACTTCAAAATAAGACGGGTTTGTTCTCGCTTCCAAAACAATGTATTACTTTATGCTTTTACGAGATCATGTGAATCAGGGTAATTATAAAACAACTAGTTAATGAAAAGCACAACTTTCAGAATGAAGTGTTTGTTCTCGCTTTCGGAAAGTTTATTTCACTTTTTTGTTTTGAGGAGAACATGTGAATCATGGTTATTATGAAATAATCAATGAAACACAATTTGTATAACTGTGCCCTAGTCCATACTTTCCCATACAGTACGTCATAATAGTGTTACCTACCTGGTAAAGTTTCGATCTGCAGTATAATGCCGTGGCGTCATACTTTGGTTCCGAATACTTCTTTCCTTCAATGTCATTAGGATCAAAGCGAGCATGTTCATGGGCTATGCTAGAAACCAGTACTATTCTGCAGTCAGTACCGGATGCTTTCATTACCGGCAGCAGAAGAGACACCAACAGGAACTGACTTAGGTAATTCACCTAAGTGATATAAACATTAATTGTTTTGATATATTGCAGTGATATCAATTTCATCGTAACGGAACATGAAATTTTAAAAATCGCATATGGATCAAATACTTTGCGTGATATACCCAAATGATCACGAAATTTCTAATGCGAAATTGTTTAAAACTTTTATCAATTTAATTTTTTCCTTTTCCTCTTTACCTGAAAAATCTGCTCATGACCATCTTCTGTGTGAGCTGAAAAATACATACCTCATTTCTGATAAATACATGCACTGTATATAAGGACACATTACTCAAAGAGACAAAAGTGAAATCGATATGAGTATAATCAACTCATCACTTAAAGCAGTATACCAGTTACCTCCAAATTAAAAACACTCAGGATATAAAATGCATCATAAAAAACCCGTATTGTATACATTTCTTTAATAAATAAATCTATAATATACAAATGTATCATAAAATCCAGTTTAAATAACTCAGAATTGTATGAAATATACGCAAATGAATAACACATAATAGTTTAGAATCAAATACAGTATAACTAAAACACAAAATTAACTGCATCATACAGATGTTGTGACTAGGACTCGTCAACAATGCTAAGGTGTTAAGTTTTGGAAAAGTTTAGGAAATGACTGAGGAAGGTGCTGCAACCGTGTAATTCAGTTGTTTGAAATCAATAATTTCTCAAAATTGTAAACTGAACCAAATTTCATGTACATGTACATATTCACACATTTAGATATTATAACATCTTTTGCATTTGGTCAAATTTGATATGGTACTAAACGCACCCTTCTGTACACTGCCTTATTCCTAATCTACTTATTAAAACATTTTAATTTTTTTTAATATACCTATTTGACGCCTGGTTGTATTATTGCACACTGTATACCGATTATATAAGTGAAAAAGCATTTCATGTCTATATCACACTTACATAACTTGTCCTGAAAGCCAATACCAGCGTTACATATCAACTTATGTAGCTTCCTGCCCGACGATTTGTACGCCTGAACGAAATTCACCACTGATTTTAGTGAACTGCAATCTAGATGCATGAATTCAAGATTCAGTTGATCATAGTCAACGACTCCAGTTGTCTTCTTTCGTTTTTCCTCTGCGAATTCCTGGTTCATTTGTTGTATAGCCTAAAACAATACATGGTACATCTAGTTTCAATTACTTTTTATTTACTTTTTTAACAGGATAAACTGTTTTTCTGTAAGAGCTGTTATCTATAGCATAAGAATAGTTTTAGATATCAACGTTTTTTCTTGTGGATATTTTGCATTGTCCATTCTATGAAAATATTTCTGTTGAACCCGCTCGTTTTCATGAAATATTTTGCAAATGGTTCTCATTTTCAAAGTGATACTAATAAGAAAATTTCAGTTAACATCTGGGAAAAACTCAATTGTTCGATGACAAAATGTATTCGTGCATCAATAGATAACAAGCTGTATTTCGAATGAAATATTTACAAGATAAAAATCATATGTTTACATTTACAGGGTATTCCTACTTTATGAACGGATTAAAAAGAAGTAATAATTGAAAACTAAAAATTACAATCATTATCATCTTTGCACTTGATAGACAGGTTTAATAATAAGACTTTGTTTCGTGGTGTATATCTAATAAGTCATCGAATTCAAAAATTTATTAAATAAATATCTAAGATATAAGTTCATGAATATATCGGTACCTTATACATTTTTCAAATTGATATTTTACCTTTTTAGCCCTCTCCTCCGATCTACACGCAATGATAACGGTACCTCCCATCATGGCTAGCCATTTAGCAGTATGATAGCCTATACCTGAAATATCGAATGCAAATATGTCGAATAACAATTCTTTGTACTGCGTGTTTCATTCATGTCCAGAGAAGATTGCATATACATGTATTACGAAGGATTCAGTAATAAAAAAATACATTTCAAATCTACCGTCTAAGAATACAGAGTTCAAAAGTTCCAGAAGGGTAGTGGTGGGGATGGGGGTGGGGATGGGGGGATTGGGGGATAAGATATATCTGCACCAATTACTTGATATAGAAGGAGAGGTCACTAGCCCCATATTTGTTTCTATGTAAATATTATTTAAGTTTGAAATAGATATTGTTACGTCTGTCAACAAAACGAGTTACGACTATCCAATGTCAGTTTAAAACAAAGGAAACTAATAGCGTTGCACGAAAACTCTTAAAGTCGTGTTACCACGTAATACATTTGCTCTCGCTCAAGAAGAAGCAGAAGACAGACAATTATCATATATAGAACAGAAAAGATGCTTATACTTAATGTTGGTGTTAATTAATACTTCATGTACTGACTTCCATTTTATGAGCATATATCAAGCTATCCTAGATGTCTAGCTATTCTTTGTGTACACTGTTTCTTTATTTTTAGCTACTGTTATACGTATCGAGATTCTCTAGAATAAGTGTTCTATTTATAACGTACGCCATACGCTCTCCAATTGATTATTGCCATACATATCGTAATTACTACCATAATGCAAATAAATCATTCAAATGGTACTGATATATCTTAGGCCACTTCATCAAAGGATTTGACAAGCAAAGGGTATGAATCGCATTATAAGCTATATATAGCACAATACCACAATCTGCTGTCATATACCATAACTACCTGTATTTCCTCCTGTAACAACGAAAATATTATCTGTTGGAATGGACACCCGAGGGAAGGAGATACTGGATCCCATCCCGACGATGATATTTCTCCGCCCTTCAAATAAACTTCCTTAGGACTCGGACATAAGTCAATGCTATTTACAGCCTATAATCACGTGATGTTACCTACACATTAGTTATGTAATATCAGACGGAGCAGAAAAAAAATTAAAATATGCATTGTTGCAGATAACACAACAAATGCAGTACACAGAAGCTATCTGAACGTTTGTTGTTTAACACTCAAAAGCTAGATTAACCATCACTCTTCAAGTGTTAAATATCCATTATACAATTATGCAATGTCTTTGGTTGGTAACATTCTACTTAAACCTACGTGAGGTCATGGCACGTTTATTAATCCGCTCAATGCTCTAAAAAATTTCAAAGTATCTATGATAAGGTTTTGACCGACACCACTTTTATGTATGATAAAGAACATTGTAAAGTTAACGCTGTTTTCGTGATTTGGCTTTGCGTCACATAAGTTAGGTAATTGTAATTTATATATTCTAATACTAATTCAAGTAAACATTCTCAATTTAGACGACATGCATTCATTGAATGTTCCAAATACGTCGAACTGACGTAATTAATGATGATTATGTCCTGTCGCATTCGTTCGTAGTCTCAGAATTCTTTATTGTATATAGTAACATTTAGTATGTTTTTTTTCACCGTTTCAGCTTTTAAGATTACATTATCGAGATCAACTGTGTCATTTACTGACCTTCTTCGGCGGAACTGGAGTTGTATATTGTTATGATCGTCCTTCTTGATTCAAACGACCCCAGATCAAACTATGATGTGCCTATATAAACATACTCATGGGTATGTAACGTTAAAATGAGAAGAATCAGTTATGATGATATAACAGGTATACCTGCTTTCATTCAAACAGTTCATGATAACATTTTAGTTCCTTCCGAAAAAAAAATCATGAAAACATACAAATGGATGTCATAATCAAGAAAGGACATACGAAAAAGAAGTCCTTTTTTCTTTTTTTATTCTAGTAGTAAGGCACTGCTGGTCTTATATTGTTATTTATTATCATTTTTGACTTGTTATTTGTGGTTGCGTAATGCTACAGAAAGCAGTGGTTAACTAGACTAACTGCAGCTTTACACGCAAGGTCAAGCTAGCGCCGACATCTATATATCAGTGCATATCCAGGCTGGTTTAAAATTTCAGAACAATGTGTTGTTGCAGACGACAGCAGAAATACCAGCAGAAGTGAGAATCTAGAACGTTAATTGATAAGCACGTAAGCCATACTTCTCCATGTCATACAATGCATTGTCTAGTGTTGCAAACTCTATGTTAAATGTACATTTTCGGTATGATTTATGTTCATGTTTTTAACAAAATCCAAGATGACAATCAGTGTAGTTTAAATCTAAACATTAGCCATATCAAGTTATATTTTAAATCAGATTTATATATCGTTGAACGTTTCAGGAGATTCAAGTGCATTAAGTATATAAATATCGCATCAACTAATTAATTAATTTGACATGGTCAGTATGTACCACAGGCATATTTCTAATACTGCCCATTCAGTCTTATCTCGAAACAAGGGAAGGTGACTTTATATTTAACTAGTCAAAATATGTCATAATCGCAGAAAAATCATAAATTAAGAAACTTTTTTCGTGGACAATCTATTTGAATTTCGATTTTTATAAAATAAACCTTGAAATTCAACTGATGGTTAATCTACTCTTCCAGAATGGAAGTTGCAGGAATTATCACTTGTGACCATTAGCTGACCTGGAATTCGATTTTCCTGGGTTTGCCATTTGTCCTGGTTGTTCTATACCATTCTAAAATGAACTTGACAATTTTTATTGTGTACAGTGTGTTTTTCTGGGGTCGACGTCGGTGTTGAATGCTTGAGGAATGAAGGAATCAAGTGTCTTAACGAATCACCTTTTAATATGCAAATGCTATTGGTCCGTTCTAAGTTCGAAGTTCCTTTCTTTAGCCAGGTATCTACATACGCTTCTATGAGTTATAGGCACCGGTTTTCATGCTATTTCAATTTTTCATATGTACGCTATGGAAATTGATGTTATTTTTTCTTCAACGTATAAATTATTTAAGACATATAAACGAAGATCTAGATTTTGTCACCACAAGGTTCTATTTTACGCAACTCAGTTGGTAGTTTTGTTGAAGGAAAAAATAACATAATAACAATAAACTATAACTTTACACAAAAGAAATCATTATGAAACTGATAGGACATTGGCCCATTATTGGCAAAGGTACTGTTTACAATTTTGTTTTCTCGTGGACGACACAGATGTTCAACTTCCACGGAACTCAAATGTGTAAATTACAATTACAATTATACACAATAGGGAAAACGGAAGGTTTGCTAATCAAGAAGACCTAACACTAGATTTTAACATTTAACTATTTAACTATTAACGATAACGTAAATATTATAATAGTGCGTTATATCAATGGAAAAGGTTGTTTTGATTTTATCTCCGTAGCTCACTATCCGCACCAACAAGTGTGTTGTTTATCTAGTGCGTGTCATATCGCGTTATCATCGATGCAGGGACATGAAACAATGTACTTTATGTCGCAGTATATGCAAGCTAGTAATATTTTCTAAATAAAACTGACTTGTTGTTAACACCTTTAGAGAAATATAGAAATGATCTGTAAGTATAAAGCTGAATATAACCAACTGGAGAATTTTTGTTTTTCATAGACAAACCTTCATTCATTGAAAAACAAAAAATGTTTTGATTAATTTCTGATAGCATTAAACAATGGCACGACTATACAGGGGTGTCAGGTCATTGTGATGATTATGCAAGGTCAAAGGCAAATACAAGTTGCCAGACATTTCGGTCTAAAGGAAACTGGGCGGGTTGCTGACAGACTTAGGTCTGAGCATCCGCGCGTGAAGTCACAACGTCAGGGCAGGTTTATTCGTCTCACGCTTTTGCGCAATCGGCGCCTTACTGCCACTGAATCTGCTCTTCATACCATAGGTACTCTAGACTGTCCTATCCATGAAAAAACTAAGGGGAAACCACTGCGAAAAGTTGGCTTGGGTGGCGGCACATGCCCCCAGTTGGGGCGGGTCTTGATTACTGATGAGTCCCGGTCCAACCTCTTTCGAGCAGACGTCGAAGTCGCGTATACTGATGTCGTGGAGAACTTTTTGCCGACTGCTGCAGAGCTCCCCTTCAATTCCCTTCAATTACTCCTAAATTATTTACCAGGTACAAATCGTTGATTTTACGGTTTGTTCTGTATGGATTTATCTTCATTCTTACCTTAAAGTATTAAACATTATACTCGACGTCTTGCCTGGAATCATATTCAAAGTTTACCCTGCTGCGTTTCTTTCTCGCTTGGGTATTTATTGTATCTCTTAAAACCCAGTGCTGGATGTTGTTTTTAAAAGTAGCAGTTGACATTCATCAGATTAGTCATAGTAATACAGGGATGTTGAAGTTTGCTCCTTTGTCAACCAGCAGGATTGAATTCAATTAGGTAACTCGTATTTCAATATAACTTGAAATTTTACGTTTAAGTTTTAATGAATAGTTCAGGTGAACTTTTAAATGTTTTAAATGTGGTGCATCAATATACCATTGAAATAATATTGAGTGTGATATAACTTCGTAATGTAAGGCGATGTATTACGTTTCAATGTTGTGTAATGTTTTTTTTTATATTGGGAAGGTCATGCCGATAAGGCGTCAGAATGGTATCTACTGTGTACAGTACACGAATTGTAAAAGACGATCATATTTTTCTCTCTTCTCTCTAAATAACAGCATTTTTGTCTTCTTAATGAGTAATGAGACTAATGCCTTACTTCTGTTCTATAACAGAGCATTCCCCCTCTGTGGAAGATCTTTAGTTATTGTCTGAACATAGGCATTTGTACAATTTTCCAAACAGTATTCTCGGCTGAAAATATCTTTCCTGTGGTCAGTCCGGACAAACTTTCGTCCCTGGCCGATTCCAAATTGGACGGCCTAAATATAGGATATTTATCACGTGATTATTTTTAAAACGAAACACATTATCAGATATAAGAATCCGTAAACTAGGAAAAAAACTCAATTTCGCCCTTTTGTTGTATTCACAACACATCTACTACATATACATACAACAAATAGATCAATAGATATATGATGATCGCTTGTAGCTACACGATAAGTGCTAAAGTCCATAAATCGCTGTAAGTGTTTGCAGTGCATTGCACAGTTACAAATGTGTTATCTCACCATCAAAACCACTTGGAAATTGATTTTGCTGTATTTATTTAGAATTACTATAAATTAGATATCGTAAGATCATACGATTTATTTAAAATGAATAGATACGTATATATATATACATACATATATTTCATAAAACAGCATATAAGTATCTTGGTATAGAGTCTATATTTCTGTTTATTTTATCCATTTTTTTTTACAAACATGTACTAAATTTTGACTAACTATGCTGATTTCTGAAATGATCTGTGAAGTAACATATCAATCCACAAAGGATGATCCCTAAGAAGTATTATTGTAAATCCTGGAGAACTCCGTCTGGTAGATACGCTTCGAGACTGTCGATGGTGTAATCCCATACAGCCCTCTGATGTGATTTCTTCCTGTAGACAAATTTATAATTATAAATTAACACCATTCAAAAAAGAATAAAAAAAAATCGGGCGAAATATGTCGTTCTCATCTGCTTGCTTATAATTTATTAATCTTATTTCATATATAAACGTGTACCGCGTAGTTTAACGGTGATTAGATTATAATAAAGAGATTTTAGTTTATGTTTGCTAAATAAACTCAAAGCATGGCTTATTATCTAAATCTGCATATGTACCAAAGCATAACCTAACTATTAGTTTTATTTCGAGATTTTTTTACTAAGAGGACATTTCTTTAAAGCATCGGTCACATAAAATCTATTCCAGATAAAAATCAAAGATGACCTATAAATCAGCTGTTAAGCTTGGTCACTGATTACGTATTTTAATTCATTATATGGCTCTACTGTTTTTAATTCTAAAGTTATATCTTAAAAAACTAATTACTGTGTGTTTTATACAATCTTATAACAGGAAATATAAGGCAGAGGGGGGCTTACAAAAAGCTGTTAGAAAAATATAACGTTTTCATTTCCTTATCACAAACTTGTGCTGTATAATGTTAATTTTGAACTGAAAAAAAAAACGAAAAATACAGAAGTTGAATTTTTGGAAAACATTACTAATTGTTATCAGTAATGAGTGTTCATAGGATCACAAGGGATTGAATTTTACATTATTGACGCCTGTGACTTGGAAAGTGGGTCAAGGTCATCCATATTAACATTTATAGACAATTATATTAGCTTTATATGTATTAGGTATTATGTGTTTAGGTCTCTCCGAACTTGAGAAGAAGTTTCGTATACGTTGGTACCCTACATTAAAGTGTTGAAATCTGACCCCTTAGGAAAGCCGGAAGTTGGTCTTTTGTGGAAGTTTTGCTTATTTCAATCAAAACCAAATCTCTACAGAAGGTTGTTAATCAAATCACGTAACTGTATTACTCTTAAAAAGAAAGAAAATGTCAGTTAATGTTATTAAGGAATAAAATTGACCCCCGTGACCTAGAAAGTTGGGTCAAGGTCATTCATATTTACAAATTTAATACGCAATTATCTTAACATTATATTTGTGATGTATCGAAACTCTAGGCCTTTCAAAACTTGAGAAGAAGTTTCGAATATGTTGATACCATACATAGAAGTTTTGAACTTTGACCTCTTAAGGAAAACCGGGAGCTGGTCTTTTATGAAAGATTTGCTTATTCCAATTAAAAGTAAGTCTCTACAGAAGGTTGTTAATCAATTCATGTAACTGTCTTTTAAAAGGTTAAGAAAACGTCATTTAATGTTATTTATATAATTTACCTCCGTGAAAGTGGGTCAAGGTCATCCATATTAACAAACTTAATAGACAATTACCATAGCAAGATATGTTAGACTATCGAACCGCTAGGGCTTTCCAAAGTTGAGAAGAAGTTTCTGGTAGTTAAGTACCCTAAATTGCACTTTTTAACTTTGACCCCTACCGAAAACCGAAAGTTGACGTTTTACACAAACATTTTTATTTTCAATTCCAATTAGCATATCCAAAGATGATCTCAAAATGTCACGTCATCATTGAGATATTGACGTTAGGGCAAAAATCAAATATGGCGTCATGGCGGCCATCTTGTTTTTTTTTTTTTTTTTTTTGACAAAGTTGAAAATCACGTCAGAATTTAGAAGGCACGTTACCAAACCTATTCCATAACAATTAAACAAAATTTCATAGTAGTAATTTTAGTTCAAACTTTTTGTCTGCACTTTACATGAAACTAAGAGAATTTTAAAAAATAATTACTTAAAAGAAAGACGTCACAGAAAAAATGTACAGACTAAAATGATAGGAGGACATTCTACATTGAACTGTGGAAAAATGTCAAAAAGATTTAATGATTATTTTTCCTATTTCTAGGTGACCTTGACCCCTAGCGAGCTTTTTTAATTTGAAAGAATTTTATTAACATGTATGAAAAAAATAGATATGACCCTCCTCTACATAAAAATGAATGTAGCAAATTTGCAGGACAAAAAGTTATCAAGTTATTGCTGTCTTTAGAATTTCTTGTAATTGGGTCAATGCGGTCATATTGGATTTTTGACCTACTTAAAAAATGAGACATAAACAAGTTCAGATGTACTTCCACAGCATACAATATAGGTTGCGTACCTATCACTTACCGTTTAAAGAATTACGAACTCACAAATTCTGAAGAAGAAAATAATAAGAAACACATCGAAAATTAGGTCTTTTCATCTTTTGGTGAAAATCTCTGATAATGATTTTATATTGATTTCAAACGAAACTGAAATTGATGCAACTGACATCAACACTTACTTAGAGGTTGATGTTGAGGCTTTTGGTTTAGAATCCGAGAAGTATACATCCCGTACACCAGCCAGTTCGGGATTAACAGCCGCATTGAGTGTAGTCCATGCCCCTTCAAAAGGACTTTTCGTTCCACCTATATTGATCAAACCCAAGGAAACGCATTTGATCTTGTCTTACCAATTCTATACGAAGTAGTATTTCACACGAGTTTCCCGAAAACCATTACATGTTTATGGCACAAAAGAGGCAAAGATGACTGTGAAATTAGGCATAGAATTACCTAGTAACTGGGGTCTGATAACTGTTTTTGTAACCATACAGCTTAGATTTATTTCTTTGTTTAACTTTCTATTTAAGATAACACAAATTCTGGAAAAACACAGGACAGTCTAATTAGTTCTTCAGCTTTTAGAACTTCACATCACTTTTATTGTTGCAAAACACTTATGATTAGTCTTTTTTTATAGGCCTTCATTTCGTGAACAGAATTATTTGTCCGTTCTTACCAAATGATTGTAACATCGGTATCAAAACCTTCAAAGCTCCTCTCTTGAAAGTATTAAGGAGTGGCGTTTTCACGATCCCAGGGTCCAAAGACAGAACAGTCACATTTGTGTCTTTGAGTATCTCGTTTAGTCGATACATCTGCATTACCTAAAACAAACAAAAAAAATGTAGCTGCATCTTTACGCATTAGTAAGTCAAAACACCAGGGTGTTAATGCTTTATTATAATATATGAAGACAATAGTGTCTGACAAACTTTAGACATAAGTTCCTTTATCTTCATGATGTCAAATATGATGTCAAATTATATCATTTACCGTGAAGGAGTTCAGGAATCATGGACAAGCCGGGAAGCAGTCCATTGATGATGGTGGAGGTGAAAGTAGGCATCTAATATATAACATGCGTTGAACATTATTACGTCTATACATATGTGGAAAAAATGTTCAGGCACAGCTTTGTACAAAGAAATGGTTAAAATAAGAATATAGCCTTCTGACAGTTCTCCGTTATCTTTCTGTGTTAAAGATTGCACGAAGAACACACAGCACTATTCAATACAAAATTAGAAAACAGTTGCACCCAATAATGAATAAAAAAAAAAGGCACAGATTGTAGAACTATGGGACGCCTTAGAAAAACCGAAAAGATCGAATAAAATATCACGATTTAGATTGAAATTAACACTAGCCCCATGATTCCATAGATATTTTTCTCATATTTTGTATATTTGTTAATTACACGTGAACGCCAAGTGCATCTTTATTACTTAAACATGATAGTATTAGAATGACTTAAATCCTTAGGACAAAAATTCACCAGCGGTTTCTACCACCTGTCATCTCGCAGAAGACTATTTTGATCATACAAGTTTAATGCTTTTCTTTTCAATGTTGTGATGGATCTTTTTATGTCACATTATATCACTAAACGAAAAAGTATTCAGATTTACCTGGTAAAGTTTTGATCTGCCGTACAATTCTGTGGTATCATATTTCGGTTCAGAATACTTTTTTCCTTCAATATCCACAGGATCAAAGCTACACCTTTCATGTGCCCTACTTGACACAAGAACAATTCTGCAGTCAGGGCCAGACTCTTTCATCACAGGAAGTAGATGAGAAACCATCAAGAATTGGCTTAGATAGTTTACCTAAATGACAGGAGGAAATGTTACTTATTAAGTAAAATATATTTCATATTGTTATTTAGAATTAATATCATCAACAGAAATGTATCAACATACCTTTCGTAGACAGAAAAGATCTATTTTATATAATCTTTTGACATCAATATACCATTGCGCGAGAGTAACTAATTTGTTCAGTACAAACATTCGTAGCTTGCTGGTACTGTATTGCAAAGGACACGCCTTCCTACCTGAAAAATTTGTTCATGGCCGTCTTCCGTATATGCTGAAATAAACATTTGTTATTAGAATATTAAACATACATAAGTTCGGTTCATTGTCAAGTACTTTTTTTAAAGATATTTGAACAGATATTGAAGTAAGGGTTTATATAGTTATTTATTACCGATGCATAAAAACCTGAACAACAAATTGTTTTCGATGTTCATTTTGGAAATTGTTAACACCTTGTGCTTTACTTGTTTTGTCTGGCGTTGACAACAGGGCTCATTCACCAAATTGTCATATATGATTTCTGACCAATCGTCTGTTGTGTCTCATCATTCACTTATTACATTTCGATACTCATTTATGACAGTTAATATAAAGATTATATGGTACTCACATAGCTTGTCTTGGAGGCCAATACCAGCATTACATATTAACTTATGAAGTTTCCTTCCTGAAGATTTGTACGCCTCAACAAAATTCATCACAGATTTTAATGAATTACAGTCTAAAAACATGAACTCAACATTAAGTCGTTCATAGTCAACTATCCCTGGTGTCTTCTTTTGTTTTTCAGTGAATTCTTCGTTCATTTGCTGTATCGCCTAGAACAAAACAAAACGTTATTGTGGTACCAGATGTTGTCGATTGAAAAAATTAGAAACTAAAGCGGCGCCCCGAAAACTTCTTGCTGTGTTCACTCACGCATATATCATTAATTCAAAACAAATTATTCTTCCGTTAGGTGATATATTTACTTTTGTTTGAATTATGAGCGATTGGTCAAGCAACCGGACGCCTCTATAACAAATGTGAAAGAATATCATAATCTTTGACCTCGATCTGCAATCACTTGACTCAAGTAAACATAGTTGTCATACCTTACAGTAGCAATGTATGGTTCCACAATATACTCTGGGAGATAGTATGATTCGTTCAGATTTGCTTAAGACGTTTCCTAGTACGTTATGAAATATTTTACGATGAAAATTATAGTTTTGAGATGCATCATTAAACCATATACCTTAGTCTATAGCACGAACTCCCGGATTATATCACTTACGGATGATCAATTAAAAAGACTTGAAAAATAAGGCATGCTTAGTATTTTCAAAACCGATGATCAGAAACAATTTTGTAGTTCTATTTCAAACAAATGTAAAAATGTTGCTAATTACTAAAAATTAGATAAGTTTGTTTGTAAATGTCTGTTCTTCTGGTCACTACAGGACTCCACCTCGAACAGTACCTGTAAACGTCTATTGATCAAACCATGTATCATATCGTACAAAGGGTTATAACTTGTACAGTTTTACCTCTCTCTATGGTATATATGTAATTCCTGAGGAATTTCTGAGAAGAAAATTTCTCATAACTTGCATTCACCGAAAGGGGATTTGGTTGCCAAATAGTTGTAGTATACGACAACCATGGACGACCTCTCCTGTTTTGCAAGTAAATTGAGGTCAACAATTCTCCTTTCTGGTTACTTTATACGGGTGCAATTTCGGTGGGGCTACCAGGAGAAATCTATTAACAACATCAATAATTAATCAGTATTGCAATACATTTAACTCTCTCAAGCGAAAAGGAACATTTACAAGTCTATGTTGACATAGATGCTCACTCGGCTGCGACGGAGTTTATAAGGTCCTACATCCGATATTTGTCTATACTGTCATGTTGAAACAGTGCATTCCCCAGGTTATATACTATCATATATCAGTCAAGTTTTAACACTTGTTTAAAAAAGTGATCATTTGTCAATATACATCATATACACAGGTTTTCATAGCACAGTTGATTTCATTCTTAAGATAGGTTGTGTTTTATATAACGATATATAACTTTCAAGGTTCGTTCAACCATAGACAGATTTCAATAACACTGTGTCTATTTTTGTCGTAAGAGGACATGTCATTTTTTAACATTTTACAGAGTAATACTATCATATGATTCTTTACCTAATAGGACCAGTACTTTTTTTCAAACAGAACTTCTTTACTTTACCTACATCGACTGATGTCAGAATGCAATTGTTAATCAACGACCTTCCCATATAAATTATTAAATGTTTTTACTCAAGTCATTACAACTTCTTATACTATTTTACCTGTTTGGCTTTCTCTTCTGATCTACAAGCAATTATAACAGTACCACCCATCATAGCTAGCCACTTGGCAGTATGATATCCGATACCTGAAAGAGAAAAATCCTCATGAACCTGTGTTTATAATCTACCTCAGGAATGGGATCACTAAAATGATAAAATTGCAAATATGTTTAAATGCAAGTATTGATATTTCTGACTGCTGTGTCTCAGGGATTGTACCTTCGTTTTTGGTGTGTAGTGTTAAATACCAGGAGATTCTGATATATAGCTGAAATAATTCCAGAAGGTTTCATCTAACCCAGTCTGTACTCAAACCGTATAATGAAAAATTCACAAGAAGAAGCATCGTAACGTAAACGGTAGTGATAATTACAAATCATAAACAATGCAATATTATCATATCCAAATTAAATGTACAAAGGAACAAAAAACAATTCTCACTTCCCTGTGTCAATGATCATGCTTACCTGCATTTCCTCCAGTTACTACAGAAATGGTATCTTTGGGGATGGACAACCGAGGGAAGGAAGGAGTGGATCCCATTCCGAAGACAGTGTCTTCATCTAAAGAATATCAAAGATGATCTCATTCATGTCATTTTGCTTATACAACATGGTCACGTGAGAATATGTAGAGGGCATAAAATAGCACGTTGTTTGTTAGACATGTTACGGTAGACTAAGCTAGTAATGATCGATCATTTATCGTAAGTCTTTAAATCAAGCTAGTTCGACGAATTGGTTTTTGTATAGAATGACCGACTTATTCAAAAGCAAAATATGCAGGTATGTTGTGTTGCAGTAGGTGCGCCAATTGGGGTTTTGTGGTTTTTTTCAGGTATTTCTTAACTCTTCATTTTGGCAATGGTGAAAACTGAAATTATGTTTTTACCTTGTTTTTAGGGAAAGAGACAATGTTTTGTTGATGTTAATGCAACTGTCCAACAAGACGATTTTAACGGATCCGTTCATAGATAGACATAAAATGTTTATTTCATATAATCTCTCTTTATACCATTATTTATCATTTTAGTGCATAAGCACCCAGTTCGTATGGTGTCTATGAATAGATTTGTATCTCAATGCACAAACGCAGTATATTAGTCTCGTTCAACCAGACTCTTGTTGGCTACACACACAACAGACCAAGTGACCAAGCGTCTGGTTCTCATAGATATCCTATATGTTGTGGCATAATATTTCATGATTTGTATTAAAAATCCACTTATTATTATTATCTACCTAGCATCAAATTAAACAATAATTATTAAACATGTTTCTCCTACAACAACGTAAAATATATCATGACGTTTAATAGGAACTTACATGTCTTTCTTATTCTGTGTATGTTAAAATAGATACTTTGTTTGCCTGCTTCAAACTTTCATTCGCTATCCACTGATTTCATATACAACACATAATTGCATGACAATTCATAGAAGTATGTGTGTTTATGTTTGATATGCGATATAGTAATTTTAGACTGAAAAATATGAAAGGGGTCGATGGAATTTTTTTTCCATATAAATCATCTGATCATTTGATCATTTCGCGACTAGAGTCAGAGTTTCAGTTGGAAATATTGAGGTTAATACAGCATTCATCAGAGGCGTACTAGGTTCCAACCCAGTTGCTACTCTCCGTTATAAGCACCTTATCTCTCGTAAACATAAACGAGGATTCAGTTAAGATCAAACTGTATCATGCAGATTTTGCATATTGAAGACTGCGTGAAAATGTTACTGAACTGACACAAATTGGATTATTTATGTCTGTCAGTAAGTGTAGTTGTTCAGGTTCTAAAATCGGTTTGTTTCCCTGAAAACCGACATTTGTGTATTCAAATGCCTCCTTGTAGCAGAAAGAAGGGTCGGAAACTTGTCATGAAGTCAAAAACCACGAACCATGAACCGTGATCACACCAATAACAACAAGGGAATATAGAAACCAATTTAAAAAGCTTGATTCCAACTCAAAATCGATGTCCATGCAGATACTCTTAAACAGGTGAAAGGTAGAATAAGGTCAGAATCTAGCAGGGTTAATATCCAATAAACGGTGTATCTTACTTCATATATCATATAAGGAAAACGAATGCTTGTCAAGTGTTCACTTTGGTTACATCTACCCTAAGTAAATTCTGACCTGATTGCGGATGTATGAATGCCTGAACCGGTTTTATACAGATTTTTTTGTTCAGTACCTCTCCTGGTATTGTGATTCACAGTGCAAATAGAGCGAGGTTTTACTCTTCAGCTATTGAATAGCGAAAATATCGAGACTTTAATCGCCAAAATTGAATTTTCTACATTACGATATTTTGAACATGCATTATTTTCTGTATCAAATTTACTGTTCCGGCTGCATGCATCGAAAATTGAAGTACTGAGCGATTGGTTGTGAGAAAATGGAATGCACATTACCTTTAGTTAGAGCGAGGTTACAAACCAGCAGATTTCCTTAGTGTGTGTAAACTCTAAACATGCCAATTTAATGTCAGAACAAATACAATTGTTGGGGCAATGATAGCAGCTTTGATATCGTAACTCGTCACGAAAAGCAAACTGAGAAGTCTGTGATAAAACCCACAAATGATGGTTGAATGAGATGTGCCGGTACGTGTGCTGATGGAGAAACTTGCAACACAAGATTTGAAGGTATGCAGATAGCAAGGACTTAGGGCAATATTTTTGCCGCCATTACAAGGTAAAAATACTAAGTTTCAGCGTGGGAAAAAAAGTTTTGAACTCCTTTGCATGTCTGGCAGTGTAAGTGGTTCCTACCCAGTCCAACACTTTGAGAACATGGTATTACTAGGATCTTATTCTCCTAGTCTTAGTATCCATGTGAATCTCTGTCCAATTCCAAATTCCAATTTGCTAATTTCTAAATACTATTTAACAGACAAAACAAAACATGTCCATGTGGTATCGTTTTTATTATATTATAAAAATATACTTAATTAAACATCATAACCAAAAATTATCTTAAAATAACAGAAATAATACCAATATGGATTGAAATTATATAGAGGTGAAAGGTCACATTTACATATTTCGTGTGGATAAAGCTGAAAGGTTCACCTGTAAGACATTTTCATACAGGTAACAAGTGCATGTTTCCTTGTCATACAATTCATAAAGGTTAAATTTTCATGAAAATACAGGGACTTGTCCCAACCACAAGATATGAACATTGTATTACATTTCACATTGTTTGTGTACTGTAAATATGACAAATATTTGTACATGAAAACACTGAGGACTTAGTTCCTCATGTATACCTGCTGTATTTTATTTTTAAAACACAGTTCATGCATGAAAAAACAACAACTGTATTTAGCATGTAAAATCGACACTATCTAGATATGTCTTACATGTGAATTTAACCTTTATATTGCAATATAGAAATGCTTAATCAGTTTTCCTGAAAGTTGGCAAAACAGCCAGGAACTTATCAGTCTATCTGTCATGGTTTGCTCCTTAATAATCGTTGTCACCAACCTTAAGCACTAAACATAAGCACTATAGCAGAGAGTATTTGTTAGGGGTGAAAGACACAAGTGATAACACTGACATACATAAAAATACAACATATTATACTTGGATAATGAATTAAGAGACTAGAATTTTGATTTAAATACAATGAAGTTTACATTTTAAAATATAGAATGATGTATATACCAATTTGGTTTCCTAATCATACCTTTTCATAAGCCCAATTACCATTACATAACTGGTATTTAACAACAGAGAGACCATGATTCATAATGCTTTTGTCATATTTTTGTACTACAGAATAAAAAAAATGAAAAGTCTTTAAATAAAATGTGGAGACATTCGCTTACAATGCCACTATTTTGGGGGAAAGTCAGAGTTTCCCAAGTTGAGCTTTCCCATGCATGATTTTCCAAAAATTCTATTTTTTGTGATTGATATTTCTGTCTCTTTGGGTTGATTTAATCAATCAACCAGTATGAGGGCTAATCAAAAATTATAAATCACATTCGTTTTATACATATGTAAATAATACATTCTGTGGAACAGTTTTTCTTCATTCTGATGCAAAAATACACATATTTTCATAGTTAAATAGAGAGATATTTTGTGAAATATGATATTTAGCTTCATACATTGATATTTGGATTCATTTTCGTTATCAAGGTCATCATAAGGTTTGTTAACCTAAAACCAGATGAACCAAGTTTTTGTCTTTGTTGAAATTTATACCAACTTTACAGATACTCTTTAAGCCAATTGCTGAACACATAAAAGAAATGGTTACCAATATAGCACTTCATTAAACTTCCTTTGCTTTCCAAAATTTTTTAACGAACCTGCTTTTCAATTTATGAGTGCATTTTCAAACCTTACTTTTGACAAGAAAAAATAGCATTGCAAAGAAAAACAAGATGAAGTTCATATCAGGATATGTATTATAGTAATAGTTGTTATAGACAACTCAAAACATTGCATTATAAGAGGGACTGTAGCAGCCATTAGAAAAATCACTCAGGTCACCATGTGTTACTATGGTTACAGAGAGTTGGGGGCAGTAAGGATTACAGGTAAATGTCTTCTTAACACAGTTCAATGAATGTTCCTTAACTACATTCAATCCGCTGGAACACATTGATTAAAATAAGGAAAATTCTTTTCCGATGAGAAACACAAGGTACTTCTTGAAGCAAAAGAATGTTCATGAAACTTTGGAGTAGTCAACAGAGTTAGCTACAGTGAGGTGACCCTGGTCAGTAGACATCTCCATGTCGTATCCAGGCCTGCATGATCGAGGGCTGGGCAGCAGACATCACAACTGTGTATGTTGTATGGCTAAAACAAATTAAAATGGTTTAATTTTGAAACAGGAATATGTTCAACATCTTGTATACCTGCTCTTACAATACCTAATCTATTATTGAGGTATTGCACTGCTTTACTACTTTATTGCTTGACAACTTCAATGAATTAATTTAACTAACAAGGAATTTTTGATTAAGTGAGAAATGGATAGGTGATGTCGTAACCAGAAATCTTCACTTTCAAACTAATATTGCTATCTTTTGATATTTTTCCAAATTTTATTGGTGAATAAGCTTGTGGGTAAGGAATTTCAGTTTCTACTCTACATCTCAATATATAATTGTACTGATTGACAAAGATTGAGTAATTATTGAATCAAGATTAACTTTTCCATGTTGGACTGCAAAGTTGACATTGAAGAAAAGAAATTATCTCTGCCTCAATCGTTTATTTAAGGTTTAAGTTCAGATATTTATATTTACAGTGTATTGTCACACACACACACCTACTCTTTACACATTCTCTACCATGTGATCCTGCGTGACCTCATCGCACTGATGATAAAACTGCCAACGACCTTGTATGTAGACTTTGTGTTGATTATGTACGAGTTTATTGTGTTCATTGGGAAGATTTTCATGCAAATCTAAAAGCCCTTTTTTTCACAAATTTTCAAACCATAACTTTGACCTTTGACATTTTTCTAATAATTTTCACTCCAATTTCTTGGTGAAAATTTGTAGCAAGTTCTGTTAAATTCCATTGTTTACATATACATTAAGGTATTTTGAACTTCCTAGTGAAACTGCATCAGGAACAAAGCAGCATAACTGCATTCAGGGACGTATTTTGTCCTCTCATTCTTTTATCCTGGCATGAAACTGTTCATTTTCATCCATTGTTATATTCGCCTTAAGATGGCAAAACCATTGACTGTAGCTTCACATCAAATTTCATTCAAGATGAAACAAGCAAAAGCGAAACTTAGACAAGACTTGTCCTGTATAGCGTACATCATCGGGTCAGGTATCCCTGTCAGATTTTAAGGGTTAAGGCACGTATGTCAGTTTTAGTAAAAATAATGGAGAGTCTTTGACATTAACACTCACTTGTTTCTCACAGGTACCACTGACATGACATTAAACAGGTTTGCCTTGTTGATGTTTTTCTGTCCAAGGGTTTTCATTGCTTTTATCGCTGGATCTCTGTAGATATAAGTAGTGTAATGATATATAGTAATGTCTTTAACAGAAAGTACAATATGTAGTAATACGCTGGTACTTTTGCTTAAACAAAATTATATTCAATGTAAAAAATAATAATTTCATTGTGGAGAGAGTTACGAATACATTAAATTAATTTTTTTTTTAAAAACTGAAAAAAAATTTTTTTCTTTCTTCTTTTTTCATTGAATTGATTATTTAAATGAACTTAATTGATTTTTTTTTTTTTTTTTGAGTCAAATATATGTCCATAAATAAAAATGTTCAATTTTATTTTAATTGGCGATATTTCTTTCATATCATAAATTAGATCCTGATGTACTGACCTACGGTCATCATCTGAAGGAGGGTTAGTCCAGTGGTCGTAATTTGTCTCCACTTCAAACCATCTGACAATTCACAAAAATACAATTGAATATATTGTAAGTATAATACATAACACTGACATTTCTGTGCCTTGAAAATCTAAATCATGTTCTACATCTATCTACCTGATGCAAGGATACAGCACATTTCAATTTTGACTTTTCAATGTGGTCACAACAAAAAAATATTTACAAATATTCCTGAACAACACAAATAAAATAATTGAAAATATTCTTGATATTGAAAGATACATCTTTTTCTTCATCTGATATGATCATACACTTTGACAAAATTAAAAAGTATGATTTATTTATCCAAAAATTAGATTAAGTGATCTTGGAGTGCACCTGCTATTTTCCGATTAAACACATTCATATTCATGGAAAAAATTCAGATTTAAAATTTAATATATTCAGGCATACTTGTTTTTTGTGGGGTCAATTGTCCAAATATCAATGGGAACCTCACGCCCTTTGGTGATGACAGTGCCCTCCCCTGGATTAACTCCTGCCACAATGTAGTACACAGACGCCATGGTTGTAGTATAGGCCAGCTTATTTACAGCTATTTCATAGTTTGTGCTCTGTTCCAGTGTCTTTGTAGTTAATAAAAACACAAATAGATTAAAAAAACATGAAAAAAAGTAATTTAGTATTGAAATAGTAAAAAAAAAAATTTAAATTATTTAAAAATCACAAGGAAAAAGTAGTTTTTACATTTTTTTTTTTTTTTTGTTTATTTACCTTTTTTAAGGAGTAGCATTTGATAAAAGTAACATCATCATAACAAAATGATATTCTTACAGATATTAGTAATTGGGAACAGTGATATGTACATCTTAATTTCAACAAGCAGGTGAAATACAGATAAAGCAAAGAATATTACATCTCTTATCAGGAAGCTGACAGGTACAGCATCTCTTTGGATTATACCAATCAGGAAGTTCATCCACCAACTGCCAATATCTTTTAAAAAAAAATCAGAAACAAATGCATGAATTAACATGAAACACAAGTTGAATTGCTTTAAGGCTCATTGAAAAATTATCTGAACACAACAACTTCCAACTTTCCAAATAAACCATTTACCGGGTAGGTAAATTGTAATACATAGCAATTTTAAACAAAGTTATCATTTATAGACAAAAATGACAATTTATGAAAAAAAAATACATATTGCTTATTTTTTCTCATAGCAAGCCAACTTTCAACTTTTTCCTTCCATTTCATTAAATCTTATTGAATAAGATATGATAGGATGAGACAAATGTCAAAGACTATATTAAGTCTCCTTTGAATTTTTTTTTCAATCATCACTGATGTATATATGTGTATATATAAAAACCTCTCTCATCTGCTGTAATGGTAAATGCTTTAGGCCTCTGACCAGTCATTAGACCAATGTATCCAGCATAGGTCACTCCACTGTAGACAGTCTACAAATCATTCAAATCAAGTACATTTTGTTTATGTAATGACCCACAGTGCAAACAAATACATAATATCGACATATACTGGTAGATTTGAGAACATATCAGGATGTATTATGGACAGGTACCTCAATTTCAAGTTTCAACATCCTTTACAAAAAAAAAACTGATTCATTGTAAGAAGAAAATTAACTGACAGATGAAATTCATGTGTCACAGACCAACAACAGAGAACATCCAGCTTTCTCTAATACATGACGTCACCTTCATATTCATGAGGGGTAAAATAGTTGGGTCATAAACAGCGAGTTAAAAGATAAAGCACAAAATATGATGGGATTGTTTTGGGTCTGTAAATCATTTATATTATCTAATCATGGAGTTAGAATTGTACGAATCGGGAGTCATACCTGATTGTTTTTCTGAAAGTCAATAAAGACTGTGATGTTTCTAAGGAGATCTGTAAAGCTGAAGTCCAGATTACGGGCATGCCAGATCATGTTTTTGTCATCCTGCATTACAATACTGGTACAGAACCTGTACAAGTCAAACAAACATTACAATACTGGTACAGAACCTGTACAAGTCAAACAAACATTACAATACTGGTACAGAACCTGTACAAGTCAAACAAACATTACAATACTGGTACAGAACCTGTACAAGTCAAACAAACATTACAATACTGGTACAGAACCTGTAAAAGTCAACCAACTATTAAAATACTGGTACAGAACCTGTACATGTCAAACAAGTCTTACAATACTGGTACAGAACCTGTACAAGTCAAACAAGTCTTACAATACTGGTACAGAACCTGTACAAGTCAAACAAGTTTTACAATACTGGTACAGAACCTGTACAAGTCAAACAAGTCTTACAATACTGGTACAGAACCTGTACAAGTCAAACAAGTTTTACAATACTGGTACAGAACCTGTACAAGTCAAACAAGTCTTACAATACTGGTACAGAACCTGTACAAGTCAAACAAACATTACAATACTGGTACAGAACCTGTACAAGTCAAACAAGTCTTACAATACTGGTACAGAACCTGTACAAGTCAAACAAACATTACAATACTGGTACAGAACCTGTACAAGTCAAACAAACATTACAATACTGGTACAGAACCTGTAAAAGTCAACCAACTATTAAAATACTGGTACAGAACCTCTTACAGTCTTACAATACTGGTACAGAACCTGAACAAGTTAAACAAGTCTTACAATACTGGTACAGAACCTGAACAAGTTAAACAAGTCTTACAATACTGGTACAGAACCTGTACAAGTCAAACAAGTCTTACAATACTGGTACAGAACCTGTACAAGTCAAGCAAGTCTTACAATACTGGTAAGGAACCTGTACAAGTCAAACAAGTCTTACAATACTGGTACAGAACCTGTACAAGTCAAACAAGTCTTACAATACTGGTACAGAACCTGTACAAGTCAAACAAACATTACAATACTGGTACAGAACCTGTAAAAGTCAACCAACTATTAAAATACTGGTACAGAATCTGTACATGTCAAACAAGTCTTACAATACTGGTACAGAACCTGTACAAGTCAAACAAGTCTTACAATACTGGTACAGAACCTGTACAAGTCAAACAAACATTACAATACTGGTACAGAACCTGTACAAGTCAAACAAACATTACAATACTGGTACAGAACCTGTACATGTCAAACAAACATTACAATACTGGTACAGAACCTGTACAAGTCAAACAAACATTACAATACTGGTACAGAACCTGTACAAGTCAAACAAACATTACAATACTGGTACAGAACCTGTACAAGTCACTCAAACATTACAATACTGTCTTACAATACTGGTACAGAACCTGTACAAGTTAAACAAGTCTTACAATACTGGTACAGAACCTGTACAAGTCAAACATTACAACAAATTGGTCAATAAAAACTTAACAATTCCAGTCTGTGTAATCTCACTTTCTCTAAACCTAAGCATGTAATTCCTTGTTTTTTTCCAGTGTTAGATTAATTGAATATTCCACTCCCTTCAGGGTGAGATAGGGGGATCTCAATCCCAGAGGAAAGATTATCAAGTAAACAAATCATGTGGATGGTGTATGAATAGTGATGAGGCCCACACCTCAAATGCTTCACGCACTGTGATTTAATCTTGCACAAAATATAGTTTTAGAGTACATACCAATAAAATGTCACATAAAATTAAACTCTTCATATTTTATGAATATCTGAAGGAATAAGTTGTGGATTAAGATTAGTTTCAGCCTTGATGATAACACAGGATTTTCAGTTTTGAGGATAACACAAATTGTAAGGATATGTGTTTGACCTTATAAAAGTAGTGCCACTTTGAGGATCCATCAGTGGCATCACTCAAATCATTTTCAAAGTGTGCAAATAAGATGTATAGCTTGTCTCAATCCTAGGGTAAGTAAATCTCAGGTCAGAAAAAAATTTGGATTTACCTGTCCAGGGTAAGAGCTTAGATTCACCCTTAGTTTTGAAATAGGGGATTACCTGTTACGACAATGATATGATGTTACAGTAACAATTTACTGATACCACATCCACAATTGAATAACGTCAATGATGCAAAGCATTATTTCACAGCGAAGAAGCATTATTTCACAGAGAAGAAAAGTCTGAACATTATGCATAAGGCCACCCTTCCGAACAGACCTCTAACATCTTCTCAGTTCCGTATGATTCAGAGTAATTGTGATTAAGTGTCTCGCCAAAGGCACATTCATGACAGTACTGAATGGCCTGTGACCTCACCTTCCAGGGAAACAAATCATTAAAGGGTAGGGATCGAACCACACACCTCAGATTGTCACCTGAGGTTATGTAATTCTGATGCATTACCAGCTGAGCTATCATAGCTCTTGTTACTAAAGACTGATCACATGGGGTTGTTACTAAGGACAAGCAACAATTTCTTGTTACTTGGGGCATACTACTTGTTGTTAGGACATGCTGCCTTTTGTTAGTCATTAGTGAAAACCCTAACAAATACTGATAACTAGTTGAAAGAGAAATTAACGATAAATGAGTTAATAGTTTACTTACGCTGAAACATCATACAGAAGATTTGCACCGACAATGTCACCTAATGATATATTCAGATTCTTAGCTATTCCTGTAAACAAACAATAGATAAAAGTAAGAAATGTCAAATGATCTACAATGAATGTCATCTGTAATTTTATGCTTCTGTCATATAATCCAAAACTGACTGCGGAAAAACATGTTCTTTTTTTTCTGGATGATTTAAGAAAATTACTTATTTTTTCTACTATTTTCACAAATTCCTGATCAAGAAATACATTAATTTTCACACAGCTATAAAATCTAACATCATTCATATTCAATAGAATTCAAAGTACCAACCTCTCATTTCCTCAGCATATGGACTTTTGATATAGCTATCCAACTCTGCAGCAATATCTTCTACCAAAGGTAAAACAACTGAAGGGTCTGGCAACATACCACTACAAAATAAAATCACAAACTTAAAATATCTCCAATTATTTTAGAATAGCTACAGTGTCTGAACATGATTTATTCCATTACATTATATGGTGATTTAAAATTCAAACCAGTGACTTGTTGTGATCACAGATTACTGGTAAACTCAGCTTAAAACAAGTCAATAAACACTACTGTATGGCACTCAGAATAAAATGTGAAAATATGGGATATGCACTTCCTTGTGTCAAGCTGATTCTTATTTTATTTACCTATCCAAAAGGAGGCATTACAAGGGTAACTGTCAGACAAATTGAAAGTTGACTAAGGTGTACCACTGCTAAGACCAAACACATTAATTTCCTCCCAATTAAGTGCTGCTAATTCTGACCTAAACTGGTCACAAAACCTTCATCCAAAGAGAAGAAGAAGGATTTCAATGGTTTCCCTTATTTATACAAAAGCTGTTCATATGTTGCGATGGATTCTTCAAACCAAACTGGTCATACCACCTCCATCTTGAAAGAAGAAGGATTTTTAAGCTTTTCCTCTATCTGACCCTGCCTTCTGCCCCAGGTGAAACACTTTGTTTATTCAGAACTGATTCCCTGTCAGACCAAATTTGGACAAAATCCTTCCATTAACGCATTAAAAAAATTGCAAGAATGTGCTTAATGTTTCCAAGTGGGTCCTGTGTCTCAAGCCTCAGAAGGCCTAGACTTACTGTTTATACCGATTGGTTTCCCTTCCCAAAGGATACCTCTGAAGAAACTTGGTAATAGCATCATCCAAACAGAAAAAGAAGGATTTAAAAAGTTTTCCCATAATTCCCACATTGGGCCCATTCCTTTGCTTCCACGGGTGTCAAACCCACATTTACCTCTTCACTACATGATGTTCCAGACCAAACTTGAATAATATCCTGTCATTCTTACAGAAGAAGATGGATTTTAAAGAATTTGCCAGTTTTTTCTGACTAAACAATGTGCTTCCTGTCAGGAGGAGGGGATGGGCCTAGATCCACTATTTATATACCAAATAGGTTCCCCTTCCCAGAAGAATATTCCTGTATTTCCACTTCTTTCTATATTGGACACCATATCCCTTCAAATATGGGCAAAGCAAAGACACAGGTATTGTTTTCAACATAAGAAAAATGCTCTTCATTTTGATAACAAAAAGCGTACATTTTCATATACTCTAGTAACTACAAGGAAGGGACAGTTCTTCTCAAACACTGAGCTAAGTACATACAGGTAATCATATGCAATAGTAATACCTGGAAGAAACCTTGTTCTACTTGCTATCTTGAGCAGAGACATATACCCCTGCTATAAGATTGTCAAGTGATATCTTTATAGTCCTTTTTTAATTAAACCCAACACAAAACCATGTCTATAGCAAATTATAAAGTATCCTACCAAGAAGGGAAAGCTTCGTGTCAAAAGACGAAAAATCTAGAAAAGGCAGCCTATGAATAAAAACTAATGAAAGATTTGAAACCTTCTTTTCTGGAATTTTCTTCTATTACATATAGTATTCATACTTGTCAATACCTGACTGACCTCCAGGGTTTTCCCTACAACTCTTAATTTTATGTGATTTTGGGGTGTCCATGGACACAAATCATGAATAATTTAGTGAATGATTTTATGATTTTTTGGGAGTCCTTTCTTCAAATTAGTAAATCAAAATGCAGGTTTTAGAGTGTCTGAGTAAACACTTGGCCTCCCCTGTACAAGACAATAGAACATTTACCTCATAACATTAACATTATCAGACCTGCCAATATTTCTCCATTTTTTTAATGAAAATAAAAAATAAAAACCTAGCTGAAAGAAAACGTGGACTATATTAGTATCAAACATCTAAGTATCGTCATCGTTGCCACCTTATTACAATACAGCTCTTCTACACGTCATTTGTAGCACAGAAGGAAAGATAACCAACAATCTGATGACTATCACTCGTATCAGCTGATTTAGTTTGCAGTGTTCAAGACAACAAGTAAAATAATGGATATTCAGAACGCTTCGAACTACAGTTGACTATAGACAGTATGGTATTGTCTATTAATGCATTTAGGTATTAACTGCCGAGGCAATTAAACGTGTGGATCGCTAAAGTAAAAACATATAACCGTTTCGTGGCACTGGTGCCAGGTGTCATGTTGAGTTGTGTTCATTTGTTTATTATGAATGCATGATGCTGAGTTGTCACCACATATCGGTTATCATGTGCTAAAAACCTAGTTATAAACTTCAGAAACGATCCCGGAACTCTCCTACCCGATCACTTGTCGAATCTTCGGGATCAAGTCCGCATATGGTTGTTTCGTTACCACGTGTGTCCATCTCTGTTCTGCTGGAAGATCGAGATTAACCACAAACTTTTCTGGGGGTGAATCGAATGATGAAAAAACCCCTGATACTGAAATAACAGCAACCAGGAAAGCAAACCCTGTTTTGACAGCCATTTTGTAGGTCATGTGATACGCGTCTTGTGATATACTTGAAATCATGTGACCTAGCCGCACTTTAATATGCGCAACGTACTATGGGAATTTCTGTTCATATTTTTCGATATTTTATTATCATATCTTTATCGAAATTTTGCGGAAGTCAAGAATATTTCATGTATGTTTGTTTTGGCCTTGTTTGAATAAGCAGCCTTATTTAATATTTACAACGCACTCATTTTGCACTTTAAAAGATTTTACCAAAGGGGAAAATGTTATCTCATGTGTACATTTGTCTGATGTAACTCATATTACATTAGTTAGGGTTTTTTTATGGAACGTAAATATAGTGTTAACATATAAAGACATAGGCACCGAGGTTTTCTGGGTAGTATTAAGTCCAGTTAGGATTATTTGACTGGGTGAAAGCAGAACCTCAGTTGAGCTAAACGAGATATACAGACAGTATTCAGCGCCAGGAACCAACGACTATAAGTACTCTTAAACTACAAATTTTAACACAATACTACTTAAAACCTCTTTTTGTCCTTCCACTACTAATGCTATTGACTGGAATCGGATGTAAGACAATGCTTAGTATGCACAGACTCTTCATGGCTTTAAGACAGCTTGCTCTCCAAAGGGTTGACCAGCTATATATACCGCTTGTTGAATCTATGGACAATGTACCTACTGTCTCAATTGTAATATAGTCAAACTCGACCAAATTCGCTATCTTATCTGATGTTATTTTTCGTATTGACTCATTCAATAATATCGAATGTTTCCCAGTTTTTAGTCGTACATCTGCCGTGGCATGGAAGGTTACTGATTCTGTGACTAGTTCTCTTGCATGACCCCGGTTCGCTGTTATTTGCTCGACGGTAGGATTTCATGGCACATTGTCCATAGTTATTGCAACACAAAAGCTTCATCACCTATGAACACCGTCTTCAAACAACCGTACTTGTTGTCAGGACGTAAAACAAAGTTTAACATCTAAGGTAATATTGTCGGGCCCGCTGATCCTAAGTCTACACAGCAGTCGAAGTTAATAAGCGATTGCTCAATATTAGCCTGGGGTTGAGGACGAATAGTGCCAAATTACTTTTGAAGTGTCTGTATATAACAAGATATAACATGAAGTGATTTGATCCGACAGTTGACAACCAGATGTGTATTTGGAAACGACAATGAAACGAAAGCAGTTACTTCATTATTTTCCTTAAACGACTTCTCGATAACATAGAGGCAAAGAGCCATATGCGAAACTCAACAAAGATTGCAAAAGAAGAAACAATGGCTTTTAGTCAAGAATTAATTGTTAAAACCTACGAATTCTCCTTTCTGATTATCAAAAGGCTTAGACCTTAAACCATAACTGGACTGGAATGTTCCCTTGAGAAACCCTAAGAACAAAGTTTGGGAACAGAAACCGCAGAACTGAAATACAGCTGAAGTCGGGCGTTTCAGCAGAGGCGAGAGCTCGTGCCAAACACGTGACAATGTACACATGTCGCAATAGGTAGACAGTTTGTTACCTATGGGCACACAACACTTCTCTTCAATTCTGGCTCCATTTCCAACAAAAAGACAGTCTGGATATGACCACATACTTCATGTTTGCACATATTCCCCACTAAAAAAATCCCTCCGGTTTTTATCCGTCTGTATTCTCTTAACCTTAACTGAATATTAGAATTACTTTGAACAAAGCATTGGATACTTGATAAACAATACAGACTCCTGGACCTCTTGGCATCGTCCAACTGATACTCTTCTTGTCCTTTCATATGCATTTATCAATCTGGATACGCTAAAGCGATGTACAAAAACTACAGACAATTTTCACTACATTCTGTCATGTTCGTATACTATCATTTATCCCTGTTAAGTCCATTTTCTGTAATGGCTTGGTCCTCAGCACATGTCCTTATTATATTTACTAAAACTGACTACATTTCAGAAAGATACAGTCAGTGTCTTACACTGGAAATGGTCTCCCCATCCTGTCACAGAAACCGTCAAGCATCTGTATCAATGGAAGGCGGAGCATTTTTTTTCAAGAGGGTTTCTTCACCTTATGAACCCCTTCGTTTGAATACTTGCCTACAGCATTCCACTCCTGTAGCCCGATTCAACATCAAAGTGAGAAGATAGGAACTTTTTCTGATAAAATGGGTATTACATGACTCATGTTTGACAGGCCACTCTTAATAGCAACAGTTGTATAAACACAAATTAAAATTGCTAATTTGTTGAATTTCATAACTGCCAGAAATATTTCTCAACGTGTAAAATTTGTGTGTTGCACAAAAACCTTTAACATTTGGAGATTTGGATAGTCGCTAAGCAGGCAAGTTCACTCAAATTAAAAAACAGACACAGAATTTGGTCATTATACATTTTTTATTCCTAACATTGTTCATATTATGATCATGACAAAATGACAACAAAGAATATTGTATGGCTGTCTATGTTTATAAGATGAGTTCAAGCACTTTATACAATCAATTTTAATCTGCAATCAATCATATGACATGGTCAAGCCACATCTGACCCTTTAGAAAGAAATGTCACATGATCAAGGCAAGCTTTTGAATCTAAGAGATCACATGATTAAGTGAGGATATCATGAGCTTTCACTTCCAGTAGTCTTTCCATCTGTGTGACATCTTCGCACCACTGTTCCAGTCTTTTCTGCATTGTGGAAACCTGTAGAAAAATATGCAAAAAAAATTGAGAAAGATTGGACATTTCTACAGATATATCTATACTAATTCTGATAAATGTCAAAGAATTGTCAGAAAAGTCAGAGGATATAGCACCTATGCCTGAAATGAACTCTTGATATGAAATTGCTTGTACTTAAAAACTCTAAAACTCTTCCCTGAAAAGCTGAATTATTTGCCACAAACTGAATATAGAATCCTATGTCATGGTCTTACCTGTTGGAGGTCAAGGACACGAGGCTGTACCCAGGTCATGTGGACTTTTTGATCCACTTCATCTATTGAGCCTTTAACTAGACCAAGACTTAAAGCCTTCATCACTAACAACTCAATCTGGAACAGACACAACATGGGAAAAGACATATACAATGACATTCTAAATGTGTATTCACAGAAAACATAAACTTAAAGAAGAAAGTATCAGGTGCCAATCATTTCTCTAAATTTCATGGACTACCAGTAATTACAAAGAGTTCAGTTCATATAGTATGTTACTTGAACAATGTTAGAGGTTTGCACAATAAGAAAATTATGACAGGCACTTTGGTTGTTGGTAGAATAAGGTCTGAAATGATACAGGAATTAAATTCTGTATCCCCTAAACCATTTTGTAATGGCATTTTGCTATTTGTTCCAAAAGTTTGCTGTCTGTTCTAAAATTTGGTATTGATAAGCCACAAACCATCGTCCAATCTAGTTTTTGTTTGACTCTCGTTTTTGTATCTGTGTTATAAAACCTACAGACAACATCGTAATCCATAGAAGACAGCCCAGCTAAGGTTTCAAACCTTTTGGAACAAATTGTAATCAACTAAAACATAATTATCATTTCTTCGTCTTTTAAATTTTTTTTTTCATTGTTCTTTTTCAACAGATGGAATGATGTTGTCTAAGTTCTGTATTCATTTTTTTGTGTCAAACTCACTAAGTTTTATTCTTCTTACAGTCTTATATCAATCGGAGCAATTTTGAAAAAAAAAAAACAACTGTTGTTTACTTAATACAATGAACCCAGAAATTTAATTTTCAAATTGAAATTATATGTTTTTCATTAAATTGTTACAACATCAAACAAATCTTATAATTCTTATATGTCACCATATTTTAGCAGAACTTTTGAAATACATACAAACCTAAATCACTTTTGTGGTCTCATAAATGTTTTGTTCTGACATGTATCCAAATATTGAATTTACTTAATGTAAGTGTAGCTTCAGAAGAAAAATATATTAACACTACTCACCTCATTTACAGGAAGTCTTGTCTCATCAGCTATTTCTTTGAATGTCAGCTGTCGATTTGTTGCAGGTCTTTTAAATGTCATCTATAAGGACAAATTAATGTGAACAGTCAGTCTTTTAACTTATCAATGTCTTCACACATACATGTAATACACAATTGTCTTTGATCTCTGTACCTGAATTTCAATATCTTATTATGAAAGTTACATTTGGATAACAATTTTTATTCTTAAAAGACACATAACATTTGCTTTTTCAAACAAATAAGTATGTTCACAGAACATTTCTCCGACAATTCTTTTTTCTTCTTTTAACATAATCATAAGATGTATATTTCTGCATAAATATATATATATAATATCTAAATTTTATCACAAGTTCTTCTACAGAGTGAAGAATTTTACTTACTTCCATTAAACACAAGAGAGAAATCTTTTGTCGTAGAGGTATTTCATTTGCTGCTAGATCCGCCTGAAACAGATTCAAGGTTTTGATCCTTTTTTCCTTAATTTTTTCATGAATAATTGAACTAAATACAGAGACATCTCTGCCCTTGTGGATACATGTATCCCATGAAGAACATCCAAGTTGGACAACTCTACCAAACATTGGTGCACTAAGCCATCTTTGCAAAATCATGTCATACACATACTACTGATAAAGAGATTGCAGTGTTCCTTAAATCTAAGATATACAGTCGAACTTCGTTAACTCGAACTCGGAAAACTCGAAGACCCCGTTTAACTCGAAGCACTTTGTCGGTCCCGGCAAAATCTTCTCTTTATTCTAGTAATCAAAACTCGGAAAACTCGAATTCGGAAAACTCGAAAAACTCTGTTAATTCGAAGTAAAAATTTGGTCCCAACAACAAAACATATACTGAATATGATCGGAAAACTCGAAGTATAAATTTTGTGCCGGTCAATTACATTGCTGATGCGCTACGCCGTTTTGCAATTTTACCGACAATAGGCTTTACAAGTGAATATTAATGAACAATACTGTAATTAACAATATTCATGTTTTAGAAAAGTGTTTATTGTTA